CAGAGCAATCTGACTATTATAACATTAGCGTTAAGAACACTTACCACATATCTACCACAACATAAGTAACCGGATCAGAGTAACATTAAGTACAGTCCGCGGCATATCACTTCATAATGTATCATATATTTCCTTATCTGAGTCAGCTGAGCCGTATCTGGCCGTGCAACACTCACAGTGTCACATACTGTATGCAGAAGTATTATTTTAAGCAACACATTAAGTTGACGAAACACTCGAGACAAATGTAATTAAAGTAAAATCGTGTTTTAGACGGGGCAGTGATATCATAAACCTGTTAATGTACGCATTCAAACACTTTTTCTTTTGCCAGCTGTATTCACCTTGCAGGTGCAGCTATGTGGCTTTTATCCTGGATAAAGTGTTTAAGTCATGGATGTTTAAAGTTTAACTTCTTCATTTTTGACTAGTATTAAAGTTCACTTTTCATTCAGGAAGTATGACGCTATCAGTACGCTTCTCCATGTTTGTGATTGGTCGAATGCTCCAAATACCACCCCTTTCATGTGAACGCGCACCTAACTAGAGGAAACGGCTGGCTTGAGCGATCCACTTGATAACCAGCGTCGTAGTACAGTTTAGCGAGAGCGCGTATGTTTTGGATTAGGCCAACCGGCTAACTCAAACATATCCAGGTTATGTTGAACCAGCTTCGTAGTATAGGCCCCTGGTGGTGGACAAACAAACACACACACACACACACACACACACACACACACACACACACACACACACACACACACACACACGCACATGCACATACACATGAGCTGTCAAATCATATTCCATCAGACACCAGTACCAACGCAGTTGAGATTCAGACTGACCCACTATGGCACCATGCAGGGGGAAGCCTGTGACTGGCAGGTGAGTGGGAGCCACTGTTCTCTGCTCACTGATCTCCCTCTGGACCGAGTGGTGTCTCCTGTCCTGCTCACTGAAGGACAGCCTGTACCCGAGTTAACCCTGTCTCTCTACTCGTCGTTCTATTCTCTACTTCGATTTGAATAATGTATTTAATCAACTTTTTTGCTTTTATGTCCTGTGTTTACATCCCTCAATACCTGAGGCCTGTACTACGAAGCCGGTTCAACATAACCTGGATATGTTTGAGTTAGCCGGTTGGCCTATCCAAAACATATGCGCTCTCGCTAAACGGTCCTACGACGCGGGTTATCAAGTGGATGGCTCAAGCCAGCCGTGTCCTATCTAGTTAGGTGCGAGTTCACATAAAAGGGGCAGGGTTAGCAACATTTGACCAATCACAAACACGGAGAAGCGTACTGACAGCACAGCGTCATACTTCCTGAATGAAAAGTGAACTATAATATTAGACAAATATGAAGACGTTGAACTTTAAACATCCATGACTTAAACACTTTATCCAGGATAAAAGCCACATAGCTGCACCTGCAAGGTGAATACAGCTGCTAAAAGAAAAAGTGTTTGAATGCGTACATTAACAGGTTTATGATATCACTGCCCCGTCTAAGACACGATCTGACTTTAATTACATTTGACTCGAGTGTTTCGTCAACTTAATGTGTTGCTTAAAATAATACTTCTGCATACAGTATGTGACACTGTGAGTGTTGCATGGCCAGATACGGCTCAGCTGACTCAGATAAGGAAATATATGATACATTATGATGTGATATGATGTGATATGAATGATAATGGGACACATCGACGTCTGCACTCACAGTGCCGCGGACTGTAGGCTATGTAATGTTACTTTGATCCGGTTACTTATGTTGTGGCAGATATTTAATTAAGCTTTCTTAAAATAATAGTATAATGATAGTTATAATAGTCCGATTGCTCTGAAGATGGGAGGTGATATTCTATTAATTTTCACGTTCACACAGATGGTGATTTGAACTGCAATGGCAGTTTAAACTGTATTTCCTTTATCCTGTAATATGACTTGATCGCTTTAAACTCTGCACACTGTTGTTATCAGCTGTTCCACCATGGTTTCTACCTCAACCTGTAATAGATGTATCCTTATTGAAACGGTTACATTAAATGAAAAATAAAATCAATGCGCAGGCTTACGTGAACACTGTTCTATATGAACAATATGGGCAGTTTATACATTAAATAAATCAACAGTATAGTGGCGATATGCTCCAAGTGAAAGCGATTCGCCATTAAAGCAAAGAAGAAGAAGAACTCCGCACAGTTGATCTCTTATCCTGGAACCTATCCTGCTGCGGCGCAGGCTAGCCGTTCAGAATAAGTTATCTAGCCCGCTATAAAGTGAACCAGCTTCGTAGGACCGGAAATCCCTGAAGTTAGCTTGCTAAACGAAAATCCTGATTCGTAGTATAGGCCCCTGGTTAGCCGCTCAGCATAAGTTACCATGGAGATCCAGCCCGCTAAAAAGAGAACCAACGTCGTAGGACCGGAAACCCCAAGTTTTCCCTGAAGTTAGCCCGCTAAGAAAAAATCCGGCTTCGTCGTACAGGCCTCTGATGTCTACTTAAAAGTTACTTTTGAATCTTTTGCTGAAATTCTACTTTTGCACACAACATTATAACAATTTCTTCACATTCACTATGATTTAGGAGGGTGTGGCACAGTGGATAGAGCCTTGGTGTTGGGGTCAGGGGGTCACAGGTTCAAACCCCACTGCAGTCAACATGTCGTTGTTTCCCTGGGCAAGACACTTCACCCCAAAATTGCTCCTGTGGGGATTGCCCACAGTATCTAGTATGTAAGTCGCTTTGGATAAAAGCGTCTAACACATAATATGTAATTTAAGGTCTGTTTTTTTACTCATCAACAGAAAAGAGTGTTGACAACTAAATATTGAATATTATTGATATATCTTCTAAGTCGAAGAAAAAACGCTTTTAGCCATTTTAACTCAGTATCCCTCAGAGCCATGGGGGTACATTTTATGATCCTACCACTAGTGGCATCACAACTGGAATAATCTACACAATGGCTTTAAAAGTCTTATTTTTTCCACTTGTTTTTTCCTGCTCTCCCATCCCATCCCCCTTCTCACCCATGTGTTTTTATAATTATGAAAGGGAGAATAGCTGTGGCTGCTGACTGGGTGCAGACTACAGCCTCCATAAACCCCTTACACAATAAACACTGTGACTGCACTCTCACGTGCATGCACGTGCACACACACACATACAGTACACACACACACGCACACACTTTGTAGTCACATCTGTTCACATGGAGTAGGGTTTTCATGTACATCTGGACTGGGTCATTCTCTGAGTGTATGTGTGGGTGTGTGCGATTGGGTCTTACTCTCATTATTCAGAAACTCTACCCAGTCGTCATATTCCTCTCTCATGTGTTTTCCCATTCATGTGAATGGTTGATTACAATTGGAATTTATGGATGTGTGGACCTACAAATGTGGTTTGTGTGAGGTTCTGGAAATCCAGTAGCTGCTTTCGGCTTGATGTGGCGGGACTTCGGCGGATTGTCCTCCTGAACTTTGTCCTGAGAAGAGAACGAAGATTGAACAGGATCATTTTATGGAGCCACTTCATTATCTTTGCTTTTTAGATTTAGATGAAAAGTAATCTATAGGTGGGTTTATGTTCAATTTGTAATATTGATATACAGATACTTTACCTTTTCATCTAAATTGGCACAGTTTTTAAACAGCATTTTGTAAATTACTTTAAGAAACAGTTTTTTGGTATCTGCAAAGGTTAAGTGTATTATGTGGTACTAAGTGTTCCACTTACGAAAGTCAATAAAGTGAAACTTTAGCACCTAGTGAAACTTTATTTTGAGACGGAAAGAAGTAGAAAGGTTTATTCATCATGGCCCATGCTGCGGCCCATCTGAAGAAAGCTCGCGAGCTTGAGGCAAATCCAGAGTACAGAGCTCTACAGAAAACCAGGGAGAGGAGAAAACGGCACCGTGAGAGAGCCGAGCGAAGGAAGCAGGTAAAACGCACATAATTCTCTGTCAAAATTATATTGTGTCAAGTTTGTGTTCTCCGAACATTTTAACAACCCGCGTTCTTTTTGGCTTATTAGTATACTTTCATAGGACATTGTGTGTGAGTTGTACTGGTTGCACAGATGTGGATGTGGTTGATCATACAGTGCTGTGGTTGCTGCCCTCTCAGATGATGTGTTTTGAACTGTGAGGGACATGGATGAATGTGGAGTAGATGACAGATGTGAGAAAAAAAGCTCTCGCTCAGTGAGGTGGTCACATGCTGGTGGCATGACCTTGTTCGGAGCAACCTTCTGGTAATATTTAGGATAAAATAATACGTTGGTTATTGTTTAAAGTTCATCAAGGAGGAAAAAAAAGGTATCGAAAAAAGTTCGTAAGAGAATTGTGTTTTAATGAGTCAATTATTGTTTTACTATTATTTTTGCTTATGACTGCCAATGGCCCAGTAGAGATTTGGTGTTCCTCCAATGCACAGACACCATACAGTGTGTAATCCAGCATCCTCTATTTATTACATGACCGACTGCAGATCAAATCCAGTACAGATACAGAGATTACAGCTGGTTTCCAATCAATCCAATCTCTGTTTGGGGTGTGTTCAAAGAAATGATCAAGACAGCAAAAGCATATGTGACTTTACAAACATACACGTTTGCAAGTCTATTATAATGTGCATTTGAATTTATATTCTAAAGAGACATACTGATATATTATCTGAAATATAAACCAGCATCTAGAATATTCTGCAATTATAGCCATGAAGGCATGTGTTCATAAAGCCTCATTATTTGAGTGGTCCGTGTGATCTGATCTTAGGACTGTGTTCAGGCTCAACTTCTGTCACTCCATTATGACCCTTAGCATTCCTGGAGAGCATCACAGCCCATGGGGTCTCCAGCCTGACCCAAAACCAGCTGCCATGTTCCCCACCCAGGGTACACAGCAAGGGGTTGTGGTCTGCATTGGAGAGAGGGTCTGGAATTGTAAAAATAGCTAAGGCGGGAGAGACAGTGAGCGTCAAGGTATAGAGCTAGAGGAATAGTGGGAAAGATAGGGCCTTGGATAGACTCAGTCCACACCAAGAAGAGTGTTTACAGAGTTAAGGGATACAAGAGCACAGAGAGGGGAAAGAGTGTTGGTAATAGGGAAGTAATTGAGATTTGGCAGATGTCATGGACCAATTTAATGGATTGTAAAATTGATTGATGTGGTTAAGAAGTGGGCAGGAGAGGCTTTTACCTGAGGACGCAAAGTGAGACACTACAAAGATTGGACCATACAGTGAGCGGAGTGAGTGAAGAAAGGCCACAGTTTTTTGCTATCGCTTGGAAGTTATACACCGATTTGGATTGTTACCATGGGAAACGCAGCAACATGTAAGGCCTGTGGAACAGATAAAGGTTTGAAGACCACTGGGAGTGACAACGATTTAAACCATCACACTGACTACTACGGAAAAACTGACTCTGGATCTGAAGTTGATGATTCACTGGTAAGAGGTGGAGAGAGGAATCAGCTTTCAGGCTTTCTGTTACATTGAGGAAGTGTTCAACAAAGCATGTTGTTATTAATCCCTTTGCTGTGGGGAGCGTTTGTAGCTGTGTGAGCTTGGTCATGGTGACATCGCTTGTGAAGAGTCTGACTTGATCCTCTGCAGGGGTGTGGCCTCATTGCAGGGATCTGATGAAGAGTTCGATTGTGCTGACCTTACGAGTTAACACCCGGTTGTGTTTGATTGACACGCTGCAGTCTTATCCCTAGAATCTAAAACATTGTCAACAATGTTGAATCAATACGGCCAGTATTCCTTTGCAAACGTTTTGTGACAATTGTGTACTAGAACAGTAGATCCATACATTTTATTAATAATTAGCATAAGCGTAAATGTTCATTATTAGTTGATATTGACGTATCCAGAGAAAACCAATCACTAAATATTCCTACTCTCTTAAGTCATACTGTATGTGCTAGTAAACTGATTGTTTGGTTTTTATTTTTGTGTTTTTTGGTCCAAAAAACTATTTGGGAAAATTAACTCAGACTTTATATTAGATTCGACCTGGACATCTTTAAAATGTGATCTGTATTTTACCCTATTTTCCTTGTTTACTTATATCACCATTCATATTTTATTTTGTGTTTTCCTTTATTATTATTTCAAATAATCTATTTGATTACTTCTGTGGTTAAAAATGTTATGTGATCTCACTAGTACACTGTGTTACTATCAACATGTCAGCTCTCATACTAAGGTTAACCTCAAATTCAGTGGGTACATCAACATTAATGCGGCAAAACATTTAAAACAGTGTGTGTGTGTGTGTGTGTGTGTGTGTGTGTGTGTGTGTGTGTGTGTGTGTGTGTGTGTGTGTGTGTGTGTGTGTGTGTGTGTGTGTGTGTGTGTGTGTGTGTGTGTTGCAGCTGCTTGTGCAGCCTTAGTGTCTGGTGGTTACATTTAGAAAAGCCTACTCGGATACATTTTGATGCAAGCAGGAAGTCCTACTTCCATGCATCCTCTGAATCCATTTATATAAGTATTTGATATGAAATACACTCCTTCATGCACAGCCAGAGCAAGATACTTTTATCTTTATAAATTGACTTGAAGGGTATGTAAAAAGAAACACAAAACCAAACTGTGAAAATAACCCTTAATGTTAGTTCATTATTTTTATACCTCATGCAAAAGAAGTTTGTAATTCTGTTAGATTATTATGTATTAAATTGCTGTTTTCATCCCTCCAGTCCGACAGTAACACCAGTTTCCTGAGGGCTGCCAGAGCGGGGAACATTGACAAAGTCCTGGACTTCCTGAAAAACGGAGTAGACATTAGCACCTGTAACCAGGTAAGAAAACTTGAATGCCTTTTCTCTCTCTGAAACCACTTACACTGTTTGATGTTGAATTTGCGATGAGCAACAAAATGCATGGACTTTGTAGGGTCACAAAGTCATGGGGTGTTTCTCAATGTCGAGGAGGCTTGCTTGGTAGCACGTGTACCTCCGAGTGAGTTCCTTAAGAAGCGAGGCAAGAATACCTCCTAGCCTCGGAAAACGAAGAATGGAATAGGCTAGCAAGTGTGCAGGTGTGCGTTATTTGATAGGCCCGCCAAAGATTTGGGAAATTGGTCTGTGCGCAAAGCATTGTGGGGATTTTAAGACCGCGGAGTCTACACATGTGCAGCCCATAGTGCAGCCTCGAAAGTCCTTCGGCGGCACTCGATGACGTAGTATCCTTGAAATAGTGGCTCTGGAGCAGCTTTCCTCGACATTGAGAAACACCCATGGAGGGATTAAGTCTTGAGCCTTTAGACTTAAGGACAAACAGTTTTAGTTAAACTTATTTTTTGATAATTGTATTGACCTATATCGTTTCCGCCAAATGAAAAAATAACAATTTTAACATTTTTCTTTTTTTTACATTATTGACTGTGTTCCAAATAATAAATACAGCTACATTTGGCACTTCAAACATGTATTCTGTTTAATGGTCTATTGAGCACAGTAACACACAGCAAATGCTGCCGTCACAGATGTAGGTCAAAGCTGTTAACTGGCCTGTCGGTCAGACCTGATGGTCTCACCTCTCCTCTGCTGTGTCACGTGCATCACACAACAGAGCTGGGTCAGTGCATTCTTTAAACTGCTAGGCTGCCCTCGCAAGATCGTAACCCCCCTCACAGCCACTACTACTCCCGTCCACTACACTCATTCTGTCCTGGAGTCTCCGCTGTATTTGAAGGGCCTACTCTGACAGCTGCTCCCACCCACCCTCACCCACATTCCACTGAGCAGGAGGTATTTAAAAGGGTGCAAAATACTTCCCCCTAGAACCCTCTACACCCCACCTGCCCTGTCCATGTCAATGTGATACAGAAGTCACAAGGTAGCTTAAAGCAGCACATGGAGTGTGCTTTCAGTACGTGAGTGTTTGTGTGCCTGTGTGCCTTTGTTTTTTTGATAGCAATTATTTATACACTGGTCTGAAATTGGTTGGCAGACAGGAAGTAGCATCCTCCCACTCATAGCTCTAATTGTTGTCATGGGCACCATGGGTTTTGTTTAGTATACAAAAACAAAACACAGCCATATTCAGTGCTGTGATTTGACACCCTCTATCTCTCTCTCTCTCTCTCTCGCTCTCTCTCTCTCTCTCTCTCTCTCTCTCTCTCTCCTCTCTCTCTCTCTCTCTCTCTCTCTCTCAAAAACACACACACACACACACACACACACACACACACACACACACACACACACACACACACACACACACACACAGAGAACCCTCCCTGCAACAGGAGAGCCCTGCCCTTCATAGTATCTGTCAGGGGTCAGATGATCACATTTGAGCCTGTATAAAGTGCCCAAAATACAAGTGACATTTTCCTAAATGTCCTTCTGTTTCTGATAAACAACATCCACAAGCTTTATTGACCTTCAATTCAAGGCTTGGGCCTACACATATTCCTAAACAAATATTTCTTGTTAGTGTAATCCAATAAGTCAATTGGCCAATTTCATGAATGTAAATAAACTGTTTCTGACATACGTAAATGCATACATACGTTTAAAGACATACACACACACATTCTTACAAGTCAAGTGCTTAAACCCCTCCTCCAGCATGTTGTTTGTTTGACTGTGACAGACAGTGAGACTGGATCTGATTACCTGTTGACTTATACACTGTCAAACAACTGTTTTAATGTTATCATGGTCACTTGTTTATTGATCTGCTGTCAAGGCTTGATTTGAAACAGTTTATGTTACACCCTGGTGATTCTGTATGACTGTACTTGTTTCTGAAACGATTCATATTAATAACCATATTAATATTTTTGTGTTGATGGCAGCTAAGGGGTTGGTTTCTCCACACCGTGTTATGAGCATCCTGAAAGTGGTGATGACATTTTCCCCAGATTTGATGGCATTTTAACATTAATGATAACTCAAGGAGAAACCAATTTCCAACCCAACCTTAGTAATGGGAGGCTAGATGGTGATTCAAAAGTATCATATTAACAGCGATAAGCGGCAGAATTGCTCTCAAGCAAATGAGTGGATCCGAGTCATGTGGAAAAGCACTCTACACAATTACTGAACCATAAACCACATAAACCATAAACATAAACCATAACCACAAGAGTACTGTCAGCATAAAGTTGGGAGAGCAACAACATAAATTATATAAATCTTAAATTAGGGCTGAACGAAATCGCGATTTTAAATGATGCGATTATCAAATGGCAAAGCCTGCGATCTTTTTTTACATTTTTTTTTCTTCTTGTGTGTCAGTCATCCACACCAATCAGAAGTGCTGTGCTCCACATGTACCAGCCATTGTTAACCAATCAGAAGGGGCCCATGATAGAAGGTGATAGACAGATTGATCCAATCACCTGCCAAGTATTTTTGAAAGTGCCTGCCCTTTCCAAATCGCTTCCAATGGAGCTTTCCTAGATGATTTGGTGAAACAAACCATCTGAGGCCCCGGCCACACGAGGACGAAAACGGCTAAACGCATAGGATTAACGCAAACGCAATCGCAAAAAAGCTTCCGTCCACACGCAATAGTCATCCGGATAGTGTCTGTCCACACGAGACAGCTCCGTTTAGCTCCAACCGCTGGAGAAGCTGCAGTACATATGCAGGAGCCTGTACGTGGCGCTGTAACTTCCTCCACAAAAGCAGCGAAGAAGCATGGTTGTCATGGTTACCCTTCTGTTTATTCTCCGCGGTGGGGGCCGAGGGAACCGGGCAGAGTTTTTCGCCAGTCAACGTGTATTAAAGTTGAAATCTTCCGACAAAATTATAAAAGTGCCGGTCAAAGGTCTTCTTTGTTATTTATTGATCTTTAAAACAAATGAATAACGACTCTATATAATATAATAATAAAATACACGGAGCCTCTCTTTTTCCTCCCTCTCTTTGGACAGCGTCAGTGTCTGTTTCATTCAGCAGCTGATCCAGTAATGAGTGACCCGGCCGACAGTAAAAATAAACATATTTATAACTAGTTTAGGTAGTTTGAGAGGTGTCTCCGTCCTGTCAGATTAGACTTCACTCGCGTTTATGTCCATATCGAGAGAAAGATAAATAATCTGAATTCAGTGTGCAGTTTACTTTGACGCGGGGGTGAGCAGCAGAGGTGGGGAGAGGCGGGGCTATTGCCTCATCATTATCAGAAAATGATCGTATAGGGCGTACACACGGAGCCTTTGGACTCCCCAGAGCGTTGCGTATGCCGTTCTATCCACCTTGGGACCCGTTATCGTTTCCGCAGTCGTTTAGTGCCGTATTCGGTCGTCCTCGTGTGGCCGAACGGTCTATATGACACTAAACAGTAACGCAAACGACCGTTTTCGTCCTCGTGTGGCCGGGGCCTGAGTCAGGTTAGTAATGCTCCATCACATGTTTCTATTACAGGGTGAATCTTAAATTGAAGCTTGACTTTAAAGCAACCCAACGGAAGTTTCATGTAAGTTGAGTTATTTCACTCGTAGCTCGGGCTGCGGGGGTGCTAGAGACGGGAGCATGTTGATACGACCTTCCTAGCCGGAGATATGGCCGCATTTTACAATAAACTTACGAACGAGCCGTTTTTTGTGTTTTTTTGCGGAGGGATCTAGATCGGCATGAAGGCACATTATGCAATGTGCACGTTATCCCGCTTGTTACATGGCCACATTCTCAACAAAGTAACGACATGACTCCCAATATTAATTGAAAGGCTTTTATGGATTTAGAAAATGATTTTATGGATTAAAAAATAGTTGTATGTATTTATTTAAATTGACATGCATCCGCTAAGAAAAGTAGTCCGTTGTTACTGTTTGAACTAACGTAGCAACGGCAGGAACTGCTTCGATAGTGTTTTTGAGGAGCTTTTTGATTACAGATTTGAAAACATCGTTGCTTGCTTTAAAAGTAGCACAATTCATTATGTCAAACCTTGGAAAGTATCTAGATATCCCTGCCCTAATGCCAAAGGAACTGGCAACTGAATATGTGTCGCCGTCTGATGTCTATGTCTGGACCGCTGCATAAAAAGGAGGGTTTCTGCCAAGGGCGCCGGAAGCGGGGGGGCCATTGGCCCCCCCACTTTACGGCCCTGCCCCACATTTTCGCAGCAGCGGATGCCGCGGAACACTGTACACATCCCGTTTCAATAATTCCCCTCTACTCTAAAGTCGCATCTAAAAAGAACGCCATCTGATCTAGCTGTGTATATGTTGTTATTTTTTATTGTTATATTCAATCTCATTAGCTACAGGCATTTTTGAAGCTTGTAAAGGGAAGAACACAGCTCGCCTCTCACTCGCCACTCTGCTCTTCCACAGCGCCGCTTCCCCTCCCTCCGCTGACATTATGAATGTAAGGCATAGTAATCATAGATAACACCGCAGGGTCCGTTACAGTTTGTTTTCATCTGATTTCAAATAAACAAAGTCTTTGCTTTCAGAATATTAAACTTGTTTCGGCAAATTCAGATGATAAATACAGCTTTGAAGCTTTTAACGGCATAATTACAAGCGGAGAACGGAGTAACTTGACGTCACAGCAAGCATAACAACAGCCGGTGTTTCTCCTGAGTTTTCCCCGGGAAACAAACGCAAAAATACACAAACACACACACGTGGTATACACGCACACACTCGCGAGCTTCCCCCAGACCAGTAATCCAAACGAAAATATCTTCCCTCCGTATACTTTGATCATTTGCTCCGCTAATAATCAATCAGATCGATCCAGAGAAGAGGAAATTCACTTTAAAGGCCTTTTTCTCAAAATGATGACTCGGTGACAGTCATTAGCCTATATAATGTGACATATTTTGCTTAATATAGTACAAAAACAATCCTGATATCATTAGAAAGCTATGAATCTCCTCTTTCCAACAGTGTAACTCAAAATGTGTCTTCGGATCAATGCGACTGATTTCGATGGAGCAGGTCACTTTGCATTAGGTAAAATACAGCAGGCAGACATAACAGGAAGAATATGTACATTTTAATCCAATGAAATAGGACATTGTCACACCATTCAAATGTATCCATGTACATTACAACCAATAACAAAGCTTAGATGTGTTTATTTGTTACGTTGTTTACGTGATGTGTTACGTTGTTCAGTGTGTGTCAGCCGTTAACCTAGATAGATAAACTTGCAAACATGTCAGAAGAACCGGCGCATAAGAAAACAAAATACAGTCAAACTAAGCTGAAATTCAACAACTTGAATGTCACATCCCTGACATCCACAACTCCGGAGCCTGGTCCTTCAACCATAGAACCAGCGCAGCCAGATGAACCCCAGCAGCAGCTCTGTGGCCGCAGAGGCTGTCAAAACCGCCGCCGCCGGCATCGTTGAACCGAAACAGGCTGGTTCCGACTGCATGGAGGTTTGTTGTCGGGACATTGTGGCAAATAAAAGCTTATTTGGGCAAAGAGAAGGTACTTCAATGCAGAATGGTACAAAAACAGAGAGTGGTTAATTCTTTACAAAACCACTAAACGAGCCTTCTGTGAAATATGCAGATTTGCTGCTGTCAAACGGCGTGTAACTTTTCACAGAGCTTACTTCAGTCAAACACCAGTCAACATTCAGCTTGTCAAACAAGAGCGTAGCAGGAAAAAATAAGAGATGGAATGAGCAACTGCGCTGTCATATGTGTGGGCTGGTCTGTATAGTTTAATTTACAGGAAAGGAGTGAGCAGAGGGTCGAGTTGTCCATTATTGTTCTGTTTTCTCTGACTATCTTCCTCCTAAAGACCCTCTCAGACTTTCATTTGCTCACGCTACTAAAGAGACACGTTACCATGGAAACCAAACAATGGTGTAGCTGTATTGAAGTCCGAGTGGAAACAGTAACATTTGGTGCGTTATGTTAGAATGAAACAAATCAGATTTAGTCAGAAATCGGGAGAAATGCGGGATAAATATGACCCCGGGAGGAAAACGGGAGTCTCCCGCGAAAATCGGGAGGGTTGGCAAGTAGGCTGTCACATACACACGCACTTTTTGGCCCCCCCACTTCTGAAATGAATCCGGCGCCGCTGGTTTCTGCCCCGTTACTTCTCTTCTTACTTCTATAAGAATAAAACACGGAGGAGGGAGATCTCTTTTTCTCCCCCTCTTCTGACAGCCCATCAGCTGATCTCAGAGCATGCTCCCCTCTCATGCAGGGGGGCGTGGTTTCTATAGCTAATAGTTACTGAAATAGAGCCCTGCTGTTTTGTCAGGGCCTTTTCTTTAAATATAATTTTAAAATGTCGATACAGTAGCCCCTTTTTTTAAATAGCCTAGTTTTTATAGGTGTTGCTATCTGTTTTGTGTAGCGTGGTTCTACAAGCACGTCAGTGCATTCATTGGGTGGTATCAGAGAGTTACAAGGGTCTGTAAATGCAATGAAAACATTTGGCCAGAGCAAATCATTTATCCTATTAAACATGTAATTTTTACTTTTGAATACTTCAGTACAAAGGATGTATTGAATAATTTAAGTGATATATGTGTATGTAGCGTGGTACAGAGTGAAGTAGCCCTCCACTACACATTTAATTTGAAAGTCTTTTATTTTGTTCTGCAAAGAGCCAAAATATATATATTATTATCAGTTCGCCACTAGGGCTGTAACAATACACTAATCTCACGATACGATACGATACACGATATTCAGCTCACGATACGATATATATCACGATATTCAGCCAACGATACGATTCGATATAATTCGATACACTTACATCATTTTCTGAAAGATTTTAAAGGGACAGTGTGATTTTGGTGACATCTTGTGAGTGTTCCATTGACTTGGATTGAATTAATTCAACTAAAAACTGAAAGCATCAATTATACAATATATGGCTCTGACTAGACAGAGTCTACAGCTTGCAAATGCTGGACAAAATGAATCAAAAGATGTGGTGAGAAAATTTGTTTCATTTATTGAAACAGTGCAAACTGTAGCTTACAAGCCTTTGAAACGTAAGTACATAAAGTGCAGTATCACAATGGACAATTAAAAGGTGCAGCAGGTGGCCTGTTCTGAACAGATTCTTTTACAGCATTTTTAGCTTAACACAGAATATGAGGTAGCCAATAATTCAAGTCACTAAGAACAACATTTAATGTAAAATGTACCTGCCAATAATTCAAGTCCAAAGGAGTAACATTTAAGCCAAAAACACTAAACAGAAAGGCTCCTCTCTACATAACTGCATCTACATTCTCTTCAGATTTTTGTTCAGGAATATAATCTGATCAACGTGGTCTGGGAGAAGTGCACTTCTCTGAGCAGTGACGATATATCCGGCGGTAGAGAAGACCCTCTCCGAGGAGACACTAGTGCCAGGGATGCACAGGTACCTTTTAGCAAGGTGTGACAAGAGTGGATACTCATACTGGTGCTCCTTCCACCAGACCAGTGGATCTGCTTTCACTTCCAAGATATCTGCCTCCTTGTAGCGGGTCATCTGCTCCTTGGCCTGGTTCTCTTGGGTATTTGTCTTGGGTTGTGCTCCACCACCGTATCGTTCACCACCAAGAAGGGCAGCCAGTGGACAAGACGGCTTTGGATTCCTGGGTGGAGGATGCTGACCTTCAAATAAATAAACAATAAAAACAAAAACACATTATTTATAGTTAATCACATTCCATAATTCCTACTCAGAGGTTCAGACAACACAATGTGCTTCACTGGATAACAATGGGTGATACTGACCTTGACTGCTCTCTCCTTCCTTGAATCACACACCATCATCTACAGTCTCTTCTTCGGATGCCATCCCCTCATCATCAGCGCTACCATTACATTTTCCTGTGCCCTCTTCGACCACACTCCAAGGGACAACTAAATGAAATAGGTCAACATGAAATGAAATTCTTGAGCTTTCACTGTAATAAATCTTTTAATTAGTGTATTTAAAATCTATGCCTTTAGAACTGTTAACATTATAGTATTTATGCTTTTTAAACTATTTAATATTTATGCATTTTAAACAGTTAACGTTGTAGGATTTATGCTTTTTAAACAATTTAATATTTATGCATTTTAAACAGTTAACGTTGTAGGATTTATGCTTTTTAAACAATTTAATATTTATGCATTTTAAACAGTTAACGTTGTAGGATTTGCCTTTTAAACGTTGAACAATGTATTATTTAGGCCTATGCTTACTCTCACCAGGAGATGTTACATAGGATACAAGGCCAAGGGTTAAACCTAGCAGTACCATCATTGCCTTACCTCTGATGGCATTGGCTGATCCTGAGCCTCTGCAATCAGTCCATCATAAACTTCCTGTCTTTGGTTCTCAGTCAGGAAGGGAAGACTTTTGAATCTTGGATCCATTGCTGAACATGCATGGAGAGTTGCCCTGAGGTCGATGTACCTCTTCTGAAGATCCCCAGACATGGCAGCCTTCATCTCTTTTATGACTGCAGATTCACCTTCGATCGGTTTCAGTCCATTGATCAGTGTGTCCTGGAGGGGTGCGATGACTGACAGCGTGGGGGTCTTCTCCTTGGACATGTACTGTGTAGCCTCCTTCATGGGCTTCAGCGCGCTGACTACTTCTTCAGCTGTTGTCACGTCTGACTCAGTCAGTGTGCACAGATCCTTCTCGGTCTTCCTCACCTCACTCGAGAGCAGGGCTGCACAGATGGCCGGTTGTTGCTCAAGGAATCTTTCCAGCATGTCGTGTGCACTGTTCCACCTGTAGTTAAATAAAAGTAAGAAACTTTATTTATAGATTTATTTAAATGTATTTATTAATGACAAAATAAATTAGTAATAAAACAAAATGAACAATTGAAAAGTAACTACGCACAAACCTTGTAACCACGTCTGTCATCAGCTTGTGCTCTGGTAGTTGTAGAAGCCTCTGTTTCTTTTTCAGCATGTGGTTGGCTGTGGTGCTTCGTCTGAAGAAGTTCACAATGCGTCTCACTCTTCCCAACAGGCGTGCGACTGCTGTGATTTTGAGGGCACGTTGTGCAGCCAGATTTAGGGTGTGTGCGTAGCATTTGACGTGAAGTGTGAAAGCTGCCTCCTCAGCTGCTATTGTCATATTTGACGCGTTGTCAGTGACAATTACTGGATCCTTTTCTGTGATTTCCCACTCAGCGAGGGCCTTTCTTAGATGTTCTGCCAGGTTGTGTCCGGTGTGGCTCTCGGGCATGTCCCTGGTTTGTAATACATACGTAACAAGCTCCCATTCCTCGTTAATAAAGTGGGCCGTGATGGTGACATATGCTTCAGTTGTTCGCGAGGTCCACCCGTCGCACGTCAGGGCAACTCTCTCCGCTTTGCCCAGGGAGGCTTTGACGTGTGCCTTTGTCTGAGCATACAGCCTGGAAACGTAAACCTTGGTGAGGTGTTGGCGGGTTGGAACAGGATAGCGGGGCTCCATCGCGTTCACCATGCGCCGAAAGCCTATGTTTTCCACCACGGAATAAGGTCTCAAATCCTGACAAATAAAGTAGGCAATGGACTCTGTAATCTTCTGCGACCTTGCAGTGCATGACATTAAGGATTTTGGGAGATGGCCCTGTGGGCCATCTAAGCTAATTTACAGATGGCCCTGAGCCCAATAGAGATTGCCCTGAAAAATGCGCGCGGACAAAATGACACACGAAGGGTTTGGGGGGGCTCCCCCTAGAACATTTAGATTGTTGCAGGTCTTAGATGCTGTCTGGTGCATTCTCTAGACTGAATTATAAGATGAACCACCACAATATTATATTGTACAATTTCAATTTTATTTTTAATTTCACTTGTTTGTTTGTTCTTGTTTGTTCGCTTGCATGCCCTGCATAGCTTTAAGAAATACTTAAGTTGTTGGTCAAGACACTTTTCATCTGATGAAGGCAAATGCCTTCCCAGATGTAAAAAAAGTAGAAAACATTACATTCAGTTATAACTGCCAAAACAAACATTATTTACACTATTATGGCCCCTGTTAAAAATGTTTGTAATGTTATCTAAATTGGTCGAACGAATGCCTCCTCATCCGGAAGCTGACCGAGCAGACCCGAGCAGCAGTCGAGAGGAGCCGAGCGCATCCGCGAAGCACACAAAATGGCGACGTCAGAGTTCCCGTTAGCCGGCAAATCTAAATATCTTCGGTCAAAATAATTTCCCTTTAGCGCAATACCGCTTCAGTTGCGCCACTTATGTGACAGACAAGAAGAGTATGTGACAGACAAGAATAGTCAATTCTAATGTCTAACACTTAATGTGGAGAAAGAGATGTCCTGTATGGGTTGATTGTGCGTTGATCTGTTGGTAATGCCTCGGGGTTCCGGTGGGCATGTAAACAAATGCATAATGCTGCGCTATACTTTGTGGCCTCATCCGGTTGCATAGCGACACTTATTGTTTAGGTGTCTTTTAATAAGCAGGTAGTCATATCATTAGCTAGAACTAGCTGGATCTGATCGATATGGACATAAACGCGAGTGAAGTCTAATCTGATGGGAGAGAGAGATCAGCTGCTGCTGACGAGTCGACACGCAGCTCTGCATGATCACATGCAGCGGTGAGCGGACAAAACACACACTTTAGGTTAGAATATCACACGTAGCTATTTTAATTACCTCTCAAACTACCTAAACTAGTTATAGATAAGTTTAGTTTTACTGTCGGGTCTCTCATTACTGGATCCGCGAGCTGCATGATACTGGCATAATAGATTGCCCGATCGGGCAACCAGCAGGTGAGGCTTCATTGCCCGAGCTAAATACTAGATGGCCCCGGGCCATCGGGCAGTCCTTAATGTCGAGCCCTGGCGACCTTGGTGAAGTAGATGGGAACTTGTGGGAACAACCGCCATCGCTGTCCAGCACGGTTTGTTTTGGGTCACGCCGCGGCCGCAGCTTCTTGAGTTCCTGAGTTAGCATGACCTTGTCCGAGTGGTGACGTTGTAGGTGGAATCGCAGGTTAGTGGTATTTCCAGAGTATTTCACGTTTGTGTGACACAGCTTGCAAACCGCCATCGTTTTATCTAAATTGTCGCTTTCCTTCTTCTTTTTAAAGCCGAAGTGCTCCCACACATCTGCTTTTAAGCACGAAGGTGCTGGGTTAATGTGTGCCGACATTCTCCTGAACCGCTTCGCACTCACTGCGAGAAGAAGAAACCGGCGTGTGTATCTAGAAATGCTCTACAGCGACACTAGCGGCTCGGCTGGCTGATGTAATCGCTCTTCATGCAAAGCGAATGGGGGGAATGGGCAGGGAGCAGAGTGCCAGGCGGAACACAGGGGATTTGAATGGGACTTAATGTAACCCGCGGCTGAAATATCGATACTTTCTCGAGAAACAAAATATCGATATATATCGCAGTATCGATTAAATTGCACAGCCCTATTCGCCACACACACACACACACACACACACACACACACACACACACACACACCGTGACTTCACTCAAGTGTATGTTTACGTTCTCTCCACGTATTTACTATACTAACACAGAAACAAAATGAACATCTGCATCAACATCCAAACAATAATCATGTCTGTTGCATTGCTATTCCAGACCAGTTTCATCTTGTACATTCAATATCAATTTGTTGCTCCGATACACAGTCAGCCAATCATGTCTACCTAACATTGTCACATTAACCAAATCACTTATGTATCTCTTTTAACTTATTTATGTATCTATTAACTATACACGAGCAGTCCGGGCTCTTTAAACCGGCTCATTGTTCTACTTTCCCGCCTCACGCTCGCTCAAGCTAACAAGGCCACCAGTGCTAACTACTGGCTAGCCATTTTCAGTACGTTACGTTTGCTGAACAAGTAACGTTCATAAACACTACTACATAAAGTCCAACCGGGATCATAAACTCACACATAACATATTCACTCATCAATTACACAATTCCAACTCTCCGTTCTTACCTGCAAAGAGCCAAAAATATATATATTATTATCACAGTTCGCCACACACACACACACACACATCGTGACTTCACTCAAGTGTATGTTTACGTTCTCTGAACGTATTCACGCGAGACTTCTCTTTGTCCCCAACACCGTGTAGCGAACGCGCCCTCTGCTGGTCGGAGTTAGACACTACATACTGCTAGATAACACTACATTTTTCCAACAATAAACCAACCATTCCTTATCAGAAAACACACAGACAATTCTCACCACACTCTGAACATGAGTGTACATAATGTAGGTATATCAACCCACTAATGGCTCTGTATGCCACATGTACACATACAAATCATTAGTCAAAACAGGGCTACATTTGATTTAATTAAAAGGTATAATATGTGGTAAACTGAAGAGCCGTTTGGGAGCCGAAAGAGCCGGCTCTTCTTGGTGAGCCGAGCCAAATGATCCGGCTCACCAAGAAGAGCCGGAATTCCCATCACTAGTTCATGGCTCACTTATGCGTCAGATCCTAGAAAGCAGCGACAGGGTGGCCAGGGCCAAAGTCGCGCGCCAAGAGAAGAGAGCTGTCCAAGTTAGGGACACATAGAGAGAGAGAAAAATAGATACTTTCCCTATCTGCCAAGTCCAAAGATAAATAAAAAACATTCTTGACTGATAAATCTAACTCACTGTTTCAAGCCAGTGAAAGGTATTGCATACTCAAGCATGTTTTTTTATATAATATCTTTTTGTAGATGATCTGCGTGTGTGAGAGTTTTTGTCCCATACAACTGTGTCATTTGTGTGTGTGCATGTGTGTGTGTGAGCTGTTTTATTTCCATGTCGACACAATTAAAGGCTGGACTTCTTCTCTAATCTACCCTAATGTTAATCCTTGATGAGTGATATTACTCTTTAATCTGCACGCATTTACATTATTTCCTCTTTTTTCTCTACCATTCGTCCCCATTGGCCTATGAAACAACACCAAATAAACATGACAATTTTGTTTTACCATGAGTGATTAGAAAAAAGGTCAAGGGTCATAGGGGCGTACATATTAATCTGTGTTGGACGGAGCTCAACCGTTTCACTCCTGCCAGAAAGCACTACAAAATGCCAGGGATCACTGTGTTGGGCTGAACGTCCATTAGCTAAATGAAGCTTTCACTTACAGCTCAGAGGAAAAGCTGATTTAGAGCTGTGTGTGTGTGTGTGTGTGTGTGTGTGTGTGTGTGTGTGTGTGTGTGTGTGTGTGTGTGTGTGTGTGTGTGTGTGTGTGTGTGTGTGTGTGTGTGTGTGTGTGTGTGTGTGTGTGTGTGTGTGTGTGTGTGTGTGTGTGTGTGTCCGTTGTGGGTTTTACTTGTCTCTCTGTTGGAATACATAATGGAGAAATGTGATTGAAACCCTATAATAAGATTACATCATTCTTGCTGTGTCAGGGAGTCCTCCATTTCAGAACTGAGCCGAACCTCAACTCTCTGCAAGCGTTACTGCAGCACAGAGCGTCTAGTCTCACATTTGAAGTCATTTGATCTCCCGCCTGTTGGCACCACAGTGAAAATAGACTGAGGGCCTGTATAATGTTATTTATGATCTACTAAAGTAATGACATTAGAGGCCTCCACGTTGCAATCTCATAAACCTGATTAAATACTCAGAGGGAATATGACAAGCGTCTGCAGCTCAGTATGACCACACCCAACCCCGGATGATAGGTGGGGGAGGGGATGATGATGATGATCCCAACAATTTCAAAACATTTACTTATTGTTTTACACATTTTTACTGAAAAATCTCAATGATGTACTGGTAAAATGTTTTTTTATGGGAAGATTTTTGACTTTTTTCTTCTATTTCATCTTCTAATTTGAATATGTTCTGCTTCTCTCTGTTATATATAATAATAAATGAAAAATAGTTGGGTTTTGGAGAGTTGAGATAATGAGCTAATAAAGCAATAAAAGCTATATTTTCTTTTCCTAAATAATTAATTGAATAAACACATCAATACCTTTTTATGTATTTTATTGTTAGACAGGATGGTTCTCATAGTTACCATATAAAGCCATACCATATATATATTATGAACTTGACCAGACATTTACTTAGATACTTTGACCTTTATGAAAGGTTAACATTTTCAGCCGTTTCTCAATATGAGTATCCATGTTTGTGTGTGTGTCAAACATATCCTCTGTGACTATGCAGAAACCTGACACCCCTTTGGCTGTTTGGCATTTGGCAACTCAGAGAGAGATAGAGAGTGACTGAGTATGAGTGTGTGCATCATTTGGGTGTGTATGTGTTGTACGTGCGCAAGAGGAGGAAGGAGGCAATGATAGTGGTGTAAGCAACATAACAGCTCGTCTTTTACATCAGTGCCAGGAAGAGCTTTCAGAGCCAGGAGCCATTTCTCTGTTACCCATCTTGTAATCTACTGGTAGAGCCTGCCGTGGAGAAGAAGGCAGAACGAGCCAGAAGCTTGGATTCAAACAAGGAGGGAAGACGACCGCTGTTGATGGTCAAAATCCAGCTTCAAGCCCCATTAAACAGGCAAAAACAGTGAAGAAAGACTTACGAAGGGAACAGAAAGAGATTGACGTTTTCTCGAAAAAAGGAAACAGGATGAAAACGAAGTCCCAATTTTAGATCCTCTTTTAATTTCGGAGATACACAGCACGGAATGGAAGAAGATGAGGATGAGGTGAATCGTTCTTCTGAGTGTTTTTACATGTCTTTCTCAGAGAAAATATATTTAAGCCTGTGTGTTGTGTGAATTGATATGTTTTGGAGCTGTGATTGTGTGTCAGTGTGAAAATGGTTTACTCTATTCTCCTGCTCTGCTGCTCCTACCCTGTAGCTCTGGTTAAAGGATCAGAGGCCTTCAATGTGATGCTCACTTTGAAGCTGCATGAGGGAAAGATCAGCCATGTTTTTTAAGTGATAAAGAAAATAAATAGTTAAAAAAGAAATACAATTATCAAGCACAAGACTTCAGAAACTTGACATTATACTGTAGGCTTCACAAAGTATGCAGATGTGTAGTGTAATTCCATGAGAACCCCTCAGTTATTCACTATCATTCATTGACATATGTTTTCAAGAAGTCTTATGTTGATTATTTGTTTCCCCTAGAATGGTCTCAACGCACTACATCTGGCGGCAAAGGAAGGACACAAGGACTTAGTTGAGGAACTGTTGGAGAGAGGAGCACCTGTTGACTCTCCCACCAAGGTACGTGCACAAAATATGACTATGTTAGTTGATAGTTGTTGTATCCTACCAGCTTCCTAGATACAAACATATCACAGTTTGATCTCTAACCATACATGGGGGACGAAGTGGAAAAAGTAAGGGGGGGGGGGGGGGAGTTGGTGGATAGGACATGTATGTAAGTAATATAGTGGTATCAGTTGTAAAGTACTAAGTCAATTACTGCTTCTCTCTTGAATTATGGAATCTAAATGGCAACAGTGGTGTTGGACCTGAGGGTGATTTAGGAGGAAGAAAGTCATGTGAAGAGAGTTCATTTGTAATTTTATATATTCCCAATAACGTGTACTCCATCTAGTCTGACATGAATTTCATTTCTGGATTATTTCTTTAGATGTCTTTCTCTTTAATTTCACACTTGTTGTAACACACACTGCTTAATAACAACAAACACAACACATTATAGAGCGTTTCATAGTGACTATAAAACAAGGAAAATTATCATCAACTTTATAATTGCTGGTCACTCATTTGTTAATATTTTGCCGGGAGGATAATGTGTTATAATATCTATAATTTTAAAAATAATGCCATATAATAATTGCAATCATGTACTGCACAGTAAAACCATAGTATGCACTATAGACATGGGCGTGCAAATGATGCTATGATTATTTAGTTATGAATTAGTATGTTAGTTTACCATATAAGTCCATATAAAATGCTTTGTAATGTGTTGTGATTCTTGTTATAAAGCATTATGAAGATGAATTTGTGCTTATAAATACAATAATACAGTATTATAGGCGGATTATAACGCATAAAGTTATTTCAAATCAGATTTATTAACTCTTAATATCTGCAAGAAGTTGTCTTATTAAATATTCTAGATTTACTGGAAGGAGGCACAGGGATAAGAGTGATGGTAAACTTCTTGGCAAGCTCTTCTTCATGTGACACTTTGGTCTAATGTGTCAGTGATTTCACAGCTAGCAACAGCAAACAGCCGCCAAAGAATCTGTCCTTGGATCGACATTAATTTAGCCTTTGATAATAATAACCTATCTAAGATCAAGTCATTGGCATATTTAGAATGGGAATAATTTTAAAGAGGGGATATTAACAGAGGCTTCTGTGACCATCACACATTTATACTACATCACTTTAAAGTAGCTGTAGTAAAGTGTTTATGCCCACACAGGATGTACACTTGGCTGGTAGCTGTTACCCTTTTTTTCTCTGCAGAAAGGAAACACTGCCCTCCATATTGCCGCATTGGCCGGACAAGAAGAAGTAGTCAGACTACTGGTGAAGAGAGGAGGAGATGTCAACACTCAGTCACAGGTGAGATGCTTCATGATCAAAAGCTATAAGGGAAAACAACAGCATGAATATGATCTTACACTAATACATGTATGTGCATATGAACTGTGTACATGTGTCTCTACAGAATGGCTTCACTCCACTCTACATGGCAGCCCAGGAGAATCACTTGGATGTGGTGCGATACATGTTGGAAAATGAAGGGAACCAAAGCATTGCAACTGAGGTAAATGAATGCCCCTATTTCCCTTTTTCTTTTATTCAAATGTATTGTATTCACCTATCTTGATTATGCTTGTCTTCTCCTCCAGGATGGTTTCACTCCTCTGGCCATCGCGCTCCAGCAGGGCCACGACTCTGTGGTCTCCCTGCTGTTGGAGCATGACACCAAGGGCAAGGTCCGCCTCCCTGCCCTGCATATAGCAGCCCGCAAAGACGACACCAAGTCTGCCGCACTGCTGCTGCAGAACGACCACAACGCTGACGTCCAGTCCAAGGTGAGGAAAAGCGACGAGGAAGAATCTAATGGAGGAAGAAGGAGGGTCCATGTGAAATGTCAAATTGGAGTGGAGAGAGAGATTAGGAAGAGTTAGAACAGAAAGCCCTCTCCGATTACAACATGGGAGAGGGAAGGAGGAAAAGAAGGAAGCAGGACTAAGTGTGTAATAATTCATCTGACTTTTCATCTGCACTCATTTGCCTGCAATTGATTTGATTTTTTTGATTTGATTAGATTTATTTTGAATGTGTAAAACAATAATACAAAAATGTAACATGAAAATTATTATACAATACAAAATTAAGCATTGTCAAATTGATATACAAAAATATTACTGATTCTAAATTATATGTATAAACAATCTACTTAATTGCATATGAAACACTGAAAAGGGGTGGGAAGAATTTTACATCTATTAAATCCCACCCCTTCACCCCAAAACTAAATTATTAACATATATATATATATATATATACATTTGTTATTGAAAAACAAACAAACAAAACAAAAACACAAAATAAATAAACAGATAAATAAACCAACAAATAAAGAAACAAATACATAATTTAATTCAAGACTTTGATAGTAATAATGTACAGAGCTTCTCTCAGAATTGTTTGTTGGTACACAAATGTGCTTTTGGTTTTCTATGTGTGTGTCCCTTTGAATGTACCCTGTGATTTTTGTGACAAGTCCCTTTCCTAACAACCCTACATCCTATTCCTATCCTTTCTCAATGCGTCCTAACCAGATGATGGTCAATAGAACCACAGAGGTATACAGACTCCTCTAATTCCTTTCAGCTTTTTTGTCCTGATATTTTCCTCATACAACTAGGCCCTATGCACCGATAATCTGAATGCATGCAGCTGTACTACACATTCCCGCATGGCTGAAGCTAAAAGCATTGTGTTGTATTAATAGATTCCAGAGAATGTTAGTTTATTATATTTTAATTAACACTTTTTGATTGTACTTAATTAATCATTCTTAAAAATTGATTAGCTCTTAATATTTTGAAACACTAAAAGTATTTAAAGGTCCCCTATTATACTGTTTTTCATCAATATATTATAGGTCTCAGATATATACAAAACATGTCTCTGAAGTGTTTGGCAGATCACCCATTGTAGCATCCCATAAACCTCTCTGTTTCAGCCCTGTTTCAAAAGTGCTGATTCTGTCTGTTACTTTAGATGAAAATAAGGAGCCACGCCCCTTTGCGAGAAATTTGGACAAAAAAAAACACAATGGTGCTCTAGGAGGAGATTCAGGTGATAAGGGGGGGGGGGGTGTTACCTTGGTTGGTTATTGGCTAATGGTTATACAAGCCAAAAAATTGATCAGGACAAAAAGAGAGAGAATCTTTTTTCCTGAAACTTTCAGAATCTCCTTACACAGAGGGGACACATGTTAATGTATAAAAGTGGATTTTGCATAATAGGTGACCTTTAAATCATGTATCCCTTTTATTTAGTGCTTTATCTCTGCATAACATTCAGCATGTGTACTTTAAAGCACGTTGTTAGCATTGTTTTTCCTGTCTGACACACGTTATTGATCTTTAAGTTAACTCTGTTTTTTAAATTGCATCATGTCTATCAGAATGGGAAGGTAAGGAGTGAACACACCTGCAACTGTGCACTGTAGATATTTATATATATGGCTTATATATAAATGTCCATTTGTCCGTGCAAGCACACATAGCGCATAGTTGCAACTTGCATGGTGTATTGAAGTTTTGATTTGTAATGTCTTTATGTTGGAACCTTGGTTTTCAGTGCTTTGATTTCTTCACCATTTGATTTTTTCAGCAGGCATGGTTGACTTACAGGGTTTCTGCATGCATTATGTATTGCCTGTGCTATTTTGAGGCATGCCCGTTTTTTATACTTCTTCTTACATCAATGTGTCTAGTTCTGTTTTTCAGCATGCAGCCTTTGTGTATTACTGCTTCAGTACTTCAGTAAAGTCAGATTTATTTGCTGAAAAATCTGGTGGTTATTGCTTTCTGATTTGTCTTGCTTTCTTTATATCACTTTCTTTCTTTTATTATTTCTTTCGTGACCTGATTTATTCTTTCTTACTTTTTTCTCATATCCAACTTTGCTTTTCTTTTGCTACTTTTTTCCATTTTTCTCAACCGCTGTTTATTTTCCCTCTCACTCTCTCCTCCTTTCCTCTCTCTTTGTCCGTCTCAAGCAGAGCGGGTTTACCCCTCTGCACATCGCGGCTCACTATGGTAACGTGAATGTCTCCACCCTGTTGCTGAACAGAGGAGCTGCTGTGGACTTCACAGCCAGGGTATAGCCCCATTTACACTTAATAAACCATACCAAGATATTTTCTTTTACTTTGAGGCTTGCAGAGCAGAATGTTTACAGTTTAACATAAAGCATATAACGTTCCCTTTTAGTCTTTATTGCCTTTTTTAACTGCATTTTCTCTGAGCCTGTCAAAGATTGCATTTGTTTTGCATGTTGTCAGCTGCATTGATTTCTTGAAATTGGTCCATGAAGTTAGTTCAAGTTTCTTTGGATGCACTTGGTTAATAAGTGATGTAACTGTCTATTACTACCCTCAACTCAGAAACAGACAGACTAAAACCATACCAACTATTATTAAATAGATTGTAGGACTTTCCATATGGTGTGGAATTTTAATGGGATTTAATACTTTACCGTGTGAATTGAATATTTATTCAGCTAAAGTTAACTTTTGTGCCTTTTTGCCTGCTTTGTCAGAATGGAATAACACCTCTCCATGTGGCCTCCAAGAGGGGCAACACTAACATGGTGGCCCTGCTGTTGGACCGTGGGAGTCAGATAGATGCCAAAACCAGGGTGAGACTGCACACCAGCTTTCATTAAATGTTCTAATTTCTGCACCCACTTCCTAGTCAATTTCCTCTCTCTGTCAAAACACACAAACTGGATTAATGTCTACACTTGTTTATATGTATGTGTTTGTGCCTCGTATGTGTGATTTTCTCACAGGATGGGCTGACCCCTCTGCACTGTGCAGCCAGGAGTGGACATGACCCAGCAGTGGAAATTCTGCTGGAGAGAGGAGCTCCCATCTTAGCCAGAACCAAGGTACTTTATGGCCGCACAATTGATCGATCAGCATGCCCCAGAATTTGAAAGTGTAATTTTTCTATGATCAAAATAACAAAGGATTTTCATTTAAGTTAGTGCTTTCTGCTTGTTTTACTTCTCATCTCTTTCTTCAAGTGTACTAGCTTTTCAATCTACTACCTTTGTGCTTACACAGAACGGACTGTCCCCACTACACATGTCAGCCCAGGGAGACCACGTAGAGTGTGTAAAATTCCTGTTGCAGCACAAGGCGCCTGTTGATGATGTCACACTGGACTACCTTACAGCGCTGCATGTTGCCGCTCACTGCGGCCACTACAGAGTCACCAAACTTCTGCTGGACAAGAAAGCAAATCCCAATATTCGAGCACTGGTAGGGATAAACAGGAATTAACAATTGTACATATACAAAAATAGTGAAAAGATGTCATACAGTTTTACTGTAAAATTCTGTGGTCATTTACCAATATACAATTATTACCATGTTATAACTAAGTATTTAAATGGCCCTGAGGAGTACCAAATGACATGCAAGAATCAAATAACTGGCAAAAATGTAATGAAACTACATTTCCAACTCCATATGTATGTAAACATAGTATTTATCGGTTTATTTCTCTTTTGCCCTCTCTAACAGAATGGTTTCACTCCTCTCCACATTGCCTGTAAGAAGAACAGAGTGAAGGTGATGGAACTGTTGGTCAAATATGGAGCCTCCATTCAGGCCATTACTGAGGTGAGATACTTTTTAGGAATATCTCAAAATAGAAACTTTAAATGCACACTTTTCTGTATGCTCATCTTCCTGTCTGTCTCTCTCTTTCTCTAGTCTGGTCTGACTCCCATCCATGTAGCTGCTTTCATGGGCCACCTCAACATTGTTTTACTACTGCTTCAGAATGGCGCATCTCCTGACGTCCGTAACATTGTGAGTTCTGAAAAATACTTTCTTTAACTGTCTGTAACCAGTAGTCAAAAATAGATATAGCATAATATAAATCGTTTTTTCAGTATCTTTTCAACTACAAGATGTTATAATGCAACAACCTATTAAGTTGGGGTTTCATTCAGCAAAGCATCTCCTACAGTAAACATTCTGTCTGTGCAAATCAGCGTGGCGAGACAGCTCTCCACATGGCAGCACGAGCAGGTCAGATGGAAGTGGTTCGCTGTCTGCTGAGGAATGGAGCGTTGGTGGATGCCATAGCCAGGGTGAGTCAGCTGTGGCATCATCACAGTTAATCCCTGTTTCTATCCGTCTATCATGAATAAGCGACATTTCTTCCACTGAGTTGCATACAGTACATCTACTCATGGGTCATGTCGCCTGCCTCAACTCTGGATGCTGTGTGTCTATCTTTTTCTAAAACAATTGCCTCTGCCTGTCTCTATGCCTTTTTATCCATCATATACAGGAGAACCAGACTCCCCTCCACATATCGTCCCGTTTGGGGAAAACTGACATTGTCCAGCTTCTGCTGCAGCACATGGCTCATCCAGATGCTGCCACCACCAACGGCTACACTCCCCTCCATATTTCAGCGAGGGAAGGTCAAGAGGAGACGGCTGCCGTGCTTCTGGAGGCCGGAGCCTCACACTCACTGGGCACAAAGGTGAGCAGGGGATCGAACCTGATGCACTGAGACAGCAACATATCTGAATCAAGATTCTTACATATCAAGTTTGACATCTACAGTTTGGACATGCAGGCAACTAAGTTTCCCTTTTCCCTCAACAGAAAGGATTCACTCCGTTACATGTAGCAGCTAAGTATGGGAGCCTCGATGTAGCAAAACTTCTCCTTCAACGCAAAGCTCTCCCTGATGACGCTGGCAAGGTGAACCAAAAATCAGGATGAGTTGTCCACATTATCTGAATAGAACAATTAATATTAAAATGCACAGAAATGGTCTAAGAGGGCAAAGTTATTCATTTTGTAGAGACACTCACAGCACAATTTATGTTTTTGAATAAGAATCATTAAGACAATGAGTAGGGACATGAAAAAGAACAAACCATGAACATACACTGCTCCATTACACAAATATGAATCATTTATCCAATTATTTTTCTTACAGAATGGCCTGACTCCTCTACATGTGTCAGCTCATTATGACAACCAAGAAGTAGCTCTGCTGCTGCTGGAGAAAGGAGCATCGCCTCACACAACTGCAAAGGTTAGACAAAAGATTTGAAAGAAGAAGTGCTTCGGACACCACATATATATATATATATATATATATATATATTGTAACAAATATATATAGGTTGATTTTTAGCTATATGGCGTTGTGTTGTATTCCATGTAACTGTTCACCTTCCTCTCTTTCCAGAATGGCTACACTCCTCTCCATATCGCAGCCAAAAAGAACCAAACAAAAATTGCTTTAGCACTGCTGCAGTATGAAGCAGAGACCAACGTTCTGACCAAGCAGGGAGTCAGCCCGCTACACCTGGCAGCCCAGGAAGGACATGCTGAGATGGCCAGCCTGCTGCTGGGCAAAGGAGCTCACGTCAACACAGGCAACAAGGTCACAAACAAAGACACACTTTCATACTTCTGCTTGACCCTTGTTTAGATTTTTATTAGACACTACTATCTATCATGAAGGGTAGCACCATTTAGTTCTCAAATATTCACAGGACATAAGCATATCATTCAATGTCTTTAATGTTGCAACCATTCTTATATGCAACAGGGATTAAGTTACATGTTTTTCTGTAGTGTTACACTAAGGCACGGGTCTCCAACACGTCGATCGCGAGCTACCGGTAGCTCACAAGCCCTCAATAAGTAGCTCGCCAAGCAAATCCAAAATGTAAAAAATACACCAAAAAAAAAAAGGAAATGTAATTAAAAGAATCTACCCTATGCATAAACGAAACCTCAATCATAGCGAACTCTATCTACTTAATACAACTCTATATCTACTATATCTACAACATCCCTCCTCCCCCGACAATGACTATCGACCAATCACGTTCTTGCTTGATTTGCGGGACCAGCGTTGCAGTCGGGAAGAAAAGCAATGTGGAGCGGCACCTCACTACTTCATAAGGAGTTTGACCGTGATTTTCCTTCTGGCAGAATCTACACAACACATCAGCCCCATCACAGCCTAGTAATGCCAGTCTATACAACACATGAGCGGCAGAGTATTACTCTGTGTGTGTTGCAACTTGCATATATATGTATTGCACTTGACACACACACACACACACACACGGCGTAATTTCAACTGGGGACAGGGGGGACATGTCCCCCCCACTTTTCGAAATCCCGTTTGTGTCCCCACAATTTACAAAAAAATAAAGTAAGAAATCATTCCAATGTGTACTATAGGTCAGTAAAAAAATTAAAGGGGAGTGATTAGTCAAATATGCACAAATAAAAAGAAATAATGCTAACTAGGTAACATAAGATAAGAATAAACAAGTTCAAATTATTTGTTATTGGTTGTGATCATATTCTAAAGATATATAGTAGTATACAGCTCCCTTTCATATGAGAGTTGAGAGCTGTATCCATAAATTCATTTGGTGCTCAAAGTGCACCAGATTGATGCATTTAACTTCAACATTTAAAAAAAAATCTTCCCGGGGGTGCATGCCCTCCGGACCCCCCTAGAGGAGGTGAGGTCAACCTCCAAATAAAGCAGGTCAAAATAATTAAATTGCATACATTTTCTTTTAGTAAACAATGAAAACGGGCCCCACAGACCCAAACAGCACACAAAGGGTAAAGGCAATCATATAATAATGTTAAAATGTGCTAAATATATACACTGCAAAAAAAGAGGAGTAAAAGTAGCCCTCATCCTAAAAAAAGGTTGGAGACCCCTGCACTAAGGCAACACTGTGTCTGTGTCCAGGTTCACTTTGAAATCTATAAAGAGAGACTTGGCCTTTATAATTTGGAATTGAAAAACGCACGACAATCGTTCTTCTCTGACATCATTACCAAAAACAAAAACAACGCACGTGCCTTGTTTGCTACCGTTGACAGACTAACTAACCCCCCAGTGTCAGTAGCCTCTGAATTTCTATCCACCAGGGCGTGCAATGATTTTGCCTCCTTTTTCACTGACAAAATTCAGAAAATCAGACAAGCAGTCAGTGCCTCTGCATCAGGAACAGCAAATGTGTTGTCTCTGTGTCCACTTAACATCAATTCAAACACCATGACACAATTCCATCAGATTAATGATAAAAACCTAGAGGACATTATACAACTTCTGAAATCCTCCTCCTGCTGCCTTGATATTATTCCAACAGGATTTTTCAAAGATGTTTTGCCTTGCATGGCCTCAGATCTACTTCATATAGTAAACAAATCTCTTCACTCAGGTATTTTTCCACAGGCCCTGAAAACTGCAGTCATTAAACCGCTCTTAAAAAAGAATAATCTAGATGCTTCAGTAATGAACAATTACAGGCCCATATCAAACCTCCCATTTCTAGGTAAAATCATTGAGTAATTTCTTGCATTTAAATAACTGTTTCGATGTGTTCCAGTCAGGCTTTCGTCCAAACCACAGCACTGAGAATGCTCTTGTAAAGGTCTTTAATGACATCCACTTAAACACTGACAGTGGCAGAACTTCAGTGTTAGTATTATTAGATCTCAGTGCTGCGTTTGACACTGTTGACCACAGCATATTACTAGACCGACTGGAAAACTGGGTGGGACTTTCGGAAACAGTTCTAAATTGGTTTGAATCCTACTTAAAGGACAGAAACAACTTTGTTTCTATAGGTAAATACTAGGGCTGTCAGTCGATTAAAATATTTAATCGCGATTAATCGCATGATTGTCCATAGTTAATCGCGATTAATCGCAAATTAATCGCACATTTTTTATCTGTTCTAAATGTACCTTAGAGAAATATTTTTCAAGTTTTTAATACTCTTATCAACATATGAGTGGACAAATATGCTTTATGCTAATGTTTATTATCATTTGAACAATGACAAATATTCTCATGAATATTAAACACAACAACCTCTGAACATTACAAATATTCGCCTCAATTCAACCTGGAACCTCTCTCATACAATAATACAATACAAATGGTGTGTGTGTGTGTGCGCGCGCGTGCGTGTGAGTGTGTGTGTGTGTGTGAGTGATGGATCATTGGAGCTATGTGCAACTCAAGGCATATGCTCGAACGGGAGCTGCCTGGACGCTGCAATCATGTTGCGCACTATCCGTGCTGAGTGTGCTGACTTTTCATACAATGTCCCACTGTCTGGCTTCCTGCATTAAGTCAAGTGCTCGGCGCAGTTGTGGCGAAATGTCGCTCCTCTGTTTTCATTTAAACAGCTCCATATCCGTTAGCGCAGCTAGCTAGCACCAGATGCTAACAACAACAATGCACGTAAGGTCTCTCTCGCTCGCTCGGCTACACATACACACACCCTCCCGGTCCTCCCAACAGCCAGTCGGTGCCTGCCGGTGAGCGTGGAAGTGTGGTCTGCTGCAAGCAGGCAGCAGGAGCGGGGCTGTCAGCATCAGCTTGTAGATGGTATTTTAAACTCGATGCGCTCTGAAACTACGGGGCGGCCGAGGAAAAAAAATACACATGCGTTAATCGCGTTAAAATAATTTGTGGCGTTAATTTTTTTTTGTTATTAACGCGTTAACTTGACAGCCCTAGTAAATACACATCTGAGTTGACAAATATGACATGTGAGGTTCCTCAAGGCTCCATCTTGGGGCCTCTTCTCTTTAACATCTACATGCTACCACTGGCTCAGATAATGAAAAACAACAAAATAAGTTACCATAGCTATGCAGATGACACACACATTTACGTAACAATTTCACCAGGAGACTATGCTCCAATTCAAACACTGAGTAAGTGCATTGAACAAATCAATGACTGGATGTGTCAGAACTTTCTCCAATTAAACAAAGATAAAACTGAGGTAATGGTTTTTGGAGCTAAGTCAGAACGTATAAAAGTTAGTGCTGAGCTTCAGTCTGCAATGTTCAAAACAACAGATAAAGCCAGACATCTAGGTGTAGTCATGGACTCTGACCTGAGTTTCAACAGTCACATTAAAACAGTTACTAAATCAGCCTACTATCACCTAAAGAATATATCTAGGATTAAAAGACTAATGTCACAGCAGGATTTGGAAAAACTTGTCCATGCTTTTATCTTCAGTAGACTCGACTACTGCAATGGTGTCTTCACAGGTCTCACTAAAAAATCTATTAGGAAGCTGCAGCTGATTCAGAACGCTGCTGCTCGAGTCCTCACTAACACTAAGAAAGTGGATCACATCACTCCTGTTCTGAAGTCTTTACACTGGCTTCCTGTGTGTCAAAGAATAGATTTCAAAATACTGCTGCTGGTTTATAAAGCACTGAATGGTTTAGGCCCAAAATACATTTCTGACCTCCTGCTAAATTATGAACCATCCAGATCTCTCAGGTCTTCAGGGACTGGTCAGCTTTCTGTCCCCAGAGTCAGAACTAAACATGGTAAAGCAGCGTTCAGTTATTATGCTCCAAAGATCTGGAACAAACTCCCAGAAACCTGCAGGTCCACTGCAACTCTGATTACTTTTAAATCCAGGCTGAAGACTTTTCTTTTTGTCGCTGCTTTTAATTGAACTATTCACATCTTAGACTGCACTGTAACTTTTATCCATGTACTTTTTCTTTTAATGTTTATTTTATTAGCTTTTCTTTTTAATGACTGATTTTAAATGCCATTTTCTTAATGTCTTTCATTTTTTGTAAAGCACTTTGAATTGCCTTGTGTTGAAAAGTGCTATATAAATAAACTTGCCTTGCCTTGTATGTTACAGACCGGACTGACGTCTCTGCATCTCGCTGCCCAAGAAGACCGAGTCAGTGCAGCAGAAGTACTCGCCAAACACGATGCCAACTTGGATCAGCAAACTAAGGTACAAACACACACTCATAACTGTACACAGAAACACACTCAAAGGTATGAACAGAACAAATAAAGAGTAGTTATGTAATGTAGTAACGTTGTTCTTAAGGAACTATTAAGTTGCTTATTTAAAGTGCATTCACCACTGGAGGTTGTGTTTTAAATGTGAATAGCCTCACTACCAGTAAATCAAAGTAAAGTAGCACACGTAAAAATGTAGCATATCTGCCACCTACTGGCTTTAGGGAAGCATGGCAGTCATTAAGCTTACGTTCATCTACATCATTCAGGGTGCTTTATATATATAAATGACCCTTTGTTACAATACAAAGCTTCTCCACAAACAAGTAAAACAAAGCAGATCAATTTGGATACAACATGTTTTTTTCTCTGTATTACATATCATCCTCTCTACTATCTCTCTATTTTTTCTTTAGCTTGGATATACCCCTCTGATAGTTGCTTGTCACTATGGAAATGCAAAGATGGTGAACTTCCTGTTACAGCAAGGAGCCAGTGTCAACGCCAAAACCAAGGTACAATATCAAACTTGAAACAAATTTGGAAAAAATAAGCACAAAGCAAAAGTCTTCTTATTTAGTATTTACAGTGCTTCTTCTTTTTATAGAATGGATATACACCCCTTCACCAGGCAGCACAACAAGGGAATACACACATTATCAACATGTTGCTACAACATGGCGCCAAGCCCAATGCTACCACAGCGGTAAGAAAAAAAAGATTGAATCTCTTTTCATCAATAAGATACATTTGTCTAAATTAAAAAAAGGTATCACTTATTTATTTCAGATTAACACTATCTGTTTCTTTCTGTTAGAATGGAAACACTGCTCTGACGATTGCCAGACGTCTGGGCTACATCTCTGTAGTGGACACACTTAAAGTCGTCACTGAGGAGGTCATCACTACCACAACGGTAAGATCGTACTACCTTTTTGCGACTACAGCTCTGGAACCAGTACATTTTTCATAAATATTAAAGAAAACTCAGCTAACCTTCCTCTGTTTTTTTGTTGCCTTGTTGTTCCGACTGTGAATTGGGATCGTTCAGACGGTCACAGAGAAACACAAGCTCAATGTTCCTGAGACCATGACGGAAATCCTTGATGTGTCTGATGAAGAAGGTGAGTTACTTAAACAGAGAAAGAATACAAATTAAAAAGTTCAAGCTCTCTTTCCCTTTGTTCAGTAGTTATAACGAGCGTTGCATTGTATCTGAGATGTCTGTATCTGGAAGCTATTACTAAATGTTTGCCCTGCTCCTCCAGCTTGGTGTGGACTTTATCTGTGTTTTTTTATTTTTGTATCTAATTTGTGTTATCCTATTGTTAGACATACATTTACTATTTAATTCAATCAAATCAAATCAAGTTTTATTTATATAGCACATTTATAAACGATTTTTGGTCTAGCCAAAGTGCTGTATTAATTCAATTAATATATTTTGAGGAATTTGTCTCCAAATCCATTTTCCTCCTGTAGATGGTATGTACACTTTATGGCTGAGTTATGTCGCAGTGTATTTAACTGATTTTACATGAGAAGAACTTTCTTGATCCAACACCTTTTTGTTTACTAGGTGTATTCATAACTTTGTTGATTGGGTTTAAGGTTTTGATGCAATGGTGGAAACTAACTGCATGAAATGTGAGGGGATGGATACGATCACAACAGTGATGCTGGCTATGTAGAATTGACCAATGCACTGGTTTAGTAATGATATACATAATATTATCACAAAGCTGTCAAGTCTTCAAAACCAGTGACAAAAGCAATTTACCAGCACTGCTCAGGTGCAAATAGTGTTGGTGTATTTGGTGTTCTAAAAAGGGATACATGTAAATATAAGCAAGGATAAATGATCTCATGTTAAAATGAACCTAGTATGTTGCAACGTGATTATCAAATGTAATCTTTAATTCAAATGGCAAATATTTTACCAGGTGAGGACACTATGACAGGGGATGGAGGAGAGTATCTGAGACCGGAGGATCTCAGAGAGCTGGGTGATGACTCTCTGCCCGGACACTACCTGGACAGCTTCAGCTACATGAGCCACAACCTGGACAGGTACCTAACAACACATACATTACATTGCTTTTAGCTGACATACACACTCACACCTAAAACTGCTACTCAAAACGTAATAGATGCAGGGGATGACACATCACTCCTGCTGTCATCCACTGCTTTTGACCAGCCTGCCATGATGTGCATGTAAATATATAAACAGAGAAAAAAGAATAATCAAAAAATCCAACCTGCTTTTCCAACAGGCCGCAGCTTACTCCCATTCACCAGAGTTTCCATCAGAGAGAGGGAGTTCTCATTGAAGACATGCTGACAAGCCACCAGGTAAGGACAAAGGAAGCATACATAAGGCGTATGATGACATTGTGTTGGTTCATATTTCTAAGATAGCGTTCCTTAAGGTATCCTTAGTTTAGAGTTTTTTTTAAATACTTTGTTTTAAGTGACTCCAAATGGCCTACTTGTCTGTCTGCAGGTGTCAGCCCTGTCCAGAGAGCAGGATAAGGACTCGTTCCGTCTGAGCTGGGGTGCTGAGCACCTTGATAATGTGGTGCTGTCCTCCAGTCTGCTACACTCTGGGTATGAACACACACACCAACATTCAAACTCTTTCCTGGTGTAACAGTAACACCAAATATGTTCATTTATTTCACATACATGCTTTCGTTCACTATCAGGAGTGTATGAATCACCTCTGAATCAAAATGTTCCTTACATTATTTACAGTCCTTCACATCTGTGTTTTCTACTCTATTTTGATTATTTTGTCTTTGCTGCTCTGTCCGTCTCTTGTCAGGATTTTCCTCACTTTTCCTATTCTTTATTCTCTTTTTCTCTTTTTGTGTATCGTTTTGTTCCCTCTTTGTGCACTTTCTTGTCTTGGTGGTGTTTGTGATTGTATGTGTGTTGTTGTATTCTGTCTATAGCCATTCTTCTCCGTGCCTAGACCATGACAACAGCAGGTGATACTTTTTATTCTTTAATTTGGCTACTCCTCCCTGGCCCTCCTTTTTTTCATTCTCCTTTTTAAGGATAGTCTAATTCCCATCCTATTTGTGTGCATGATTTTACAATGCATGACTTTGCATTTGTAGGGTTCAGCTTTTATTTTTCAATCAATCAATCAAAAATATTGTTTTAATTCCACAAGGCAATTAGGTAATCTAGGTGATGTTCCAACCAAATTTATTAGCCTTGATGCAGATTGGATTTCTTTAATCTTGATCATCTGCAAAAATCCATTTTCCTAATATGCTATTTATTTGTCTGCCTAATATAGCAGCGTTTTATGTTGAGAATGATATTGCAAAGTGGGGTGTTTATGACAGCTGAATATAATTTGATATGAATAAATATTAATAATATAAATAATAAGGCTGATATTACTGTATTCTTATTGTCAACAAATCCAATGAAAGGTTTTAAGTCAGTAATATCCTTCGACTCCCTACCCTGCCTGTGGCTCAAAACTCCAAGCCCATTTCTTCCTACTCAATGCTACTCAAACAGAAGAAATATACCGGTCTTGCAGTTTGACTATAAACTTTAATGTGTGTTATCATTAGGGATGCATACCGGTATCCGGTATTACCGAAAATACCGGTTACTGGTGGCTACGGTATACCGTACCAAAATCAGATCCGGTTTCGATACTTTAAATTAATTTTAAAAGTGAGTCCGTGGCCCGTGATGGCGGGTGTTATAAATTAGATTGCATAATCGTTTTTCTTCATATTTTATGTATTTTTCATTGTTTGTTCAATACTAGAAAGGTAAAAGTCCCACAAATGAACTGTGATGGGATTTGTTTTCTCTCACCAGTGAAGGTAAATGTTGATTTTAAAGATGAGATTTGTTTGTTTGTGCAATGCCGAGATCTCATGACCATTATTCTATTATGTATTTGTTCTCTAGTCGAATCTCAGGTTTAACATTAATTATAACGGTGCTATAACGGTCTGTTTGCATTGACAAGATGTGCTATTCACGCGGCACACCTGATGGCGGGTGTTATAAAAGATATTCCATAATCGGTTTTCTTCATATTTTGTATGTATCTTTCATTGTTTGTTCAGTACTAAAAGGTCCAAGAAGTCCCACAATTGAATTTAATATTCATTTGACATGTTAACTATATCGTAAAGCTCTTCATGGGAGTAATTGTGGGATGATACATTTTCAAAGTATCACGATATGTATCGGTTGAGTATCGGTATCGTTCAGTGGTATCGGTATCGTAAAAAAGTCAACGATATGCATCCCTAGTTATCATGTTCAATACCGAAACCTTGAGTAATACTGTAAATTCTTGCTTGCTTGAAGATATCTATTATTTGCACCTTGACAAATAAGATCCAAAAAGAATCTTATTCAATGACCTCCTCTTTTTTCGCCTGGCTTGCAAATTCCTTTTAGAATGGAGTAAAACTGCAAAGAGAACAAGCAAAATGAAATATTAACTGCTACGATGTGCTTGTTGAAATGTAAGTAATGAATGGTGCGTTGAAAATGGTTTCTTCTTAGTGGAATGTCAGTTGCTTTGACTGCATGGAGACTGGTAGTCAACAGATGAGGATCTGTGCCAGAAGTATTGCATTGATAAACAACCAATCTTAAAAAATATATTTCTAACTGGACCCTTTTCTATAGCTTCCTTGTCAGCTTCATGGTCGATGCCAGGGGTGGGGCCATGCGTGGTTGCCGTCACAATGGCCTTCGAATCATTGTGCCACCAAGAAAGTGTTCTGCTCCCACGCGAGTGACATGCAGGCTGGTGAAGAGACACCGTCTGGCCTCTATGCCCCCAATGGTGGAGGGTGAGGGGATGGCTGGGCGAATCATTGAAGTGGGGCCCACTGGAGCCCAGTTCTTGGGGTAAGTGTGTGTTTTAATGTATGTTTGTTTGAATGTGAGTGTTAACTTGTTGTGTGTTAGAGTTTGTTTGAGTCTATTCGCTTGTGTGAGTGTGTTTACACTCTTGTGCGGTGTGTTCATATTTTCTTCTTCATTCCCCCTCTGTGCTGCCTATGGATCAGTAAGCTCCACCTTCCCACAGCTCCGCCCCCTCTAAATGAGGGTGAGAGCTTGGTCAGTCGCATCCTGCAGCTGGGTCCTCCAGGAACCAAGTTCCTCGGGTAGGACCATGGTTGGGGGACACCCTACCATCCTGGAAATGGTCACATACTTACCCATCTTTTTTCACCGTGTCCACCTTTTTGAGTTTTCCATGATATGATCATTTTATATCCCATTTTTTTTTGTGTTTGCTGTTGCGTTATTACAAATCCTTCTTCAGTGTATGGAACCAATCTCCATGCTTGTTTCTAGCTGGATTATTCTCCTTTTCCTTCTCGTTGTGTTGACATGTTTTTTAATGACTTTTTATTTCTGATAATGTTTATTTTACCAGGCATGAAATGCACCTGATGTTTTTAAGCCCAACTTTATATCTTATTTTCTTTTTCTGTCTTTGTTACTTTTGTTGCATAAATTGACCTTAACATAGTATTATCTCTGACAAAGCTAGCTTTGATAAACTGTTGCCACAAAGGTATATTAAAGTCCCATTTGTGTTTGACTTTCCCTTCACCCTTCAGGCCTGTGATCGTGGAGATCCCCCATTTTGCAGCTCTGCGGGGAACAGAGAGAGAGCTAGTGATCCTAAGGAGTGAGACAGGGGAGAGCTGGAGGGAACACCACTGTGACTTCACTGAAGAGGAACTGAACCAAATACTTAATGGCATGGATGAAAGTAAGGGATCTGAACTAGACTGTAATGTAAACCAAGGGTTGTTAATAGGGGTTGATATCTTATATCACAGCATTTTTTATGCAATTAATACATTAAATCCTCAAAACACAGAATTTTAGGCCACACCATGATCACATTAAGCCATAACACAGACCACAGGAGCGTAGTGAAGTAGGACAGTAGGACAGAGTCGCCATTTTGATTACATTGCTGGGATAATAATGGAAAACAAAAAGTAGAGGAAGCAGTAAATGAAAGAGAAACTGAAATAAACGTACACTTGAGATGTTATTCTCCATACCTCACATACTTTAATTGACTGCTTATAGGTTATGTATACTTAATATTTCTAATCTTCACAGAACTTGATTCCCCTGAGGAGCTTGAGAAGAGAAGAATCTGTCGTATCATCACCCGCGACTTCCCACAGTATTTTGCGGTGGTGTCACGGATAAAGCAGGACAGCCATTTGATTGGACCAGAGGGCGGGGTCCTCAGTAGCACTCTTGTGCCACAAGTCCAGGCAGTCTTCCCTGAAGGAGCCCTCACCAAAAAGATCAGAGTTGGGCTACAGGTACGTAAAGTGCATTTATTGACCAGACACAGATATTTAAATCTAAGGAATCCAATATATTTACTTTTATAAATGTTGTACCTTCTCCTAGGCTCAACCCATTGATGTTGAGGTGGTGCGAAAGATTCTTGGTAACAAAGCCACATTCAGCTCAATTGTCACATTGGAGCCACGAAGGAGAAAGTTCCACAAACCAATCACAATGACCATCCCTATTCCCAAGAGCTCCAATAGTGATGGCCAAAGCGGAGTATACAGTGGAGATGTCCCTACTTTACGTTTGCTTTGCAGCATTACAGGTATGTGTGGGGAATAATTCATCAGCAAACAATAACACATCACTGCGCATTTTGAGCTACCACCACTGTGGGTAGGGTCGTCAAAATACATACTCAAAATGTCCCCTCTGTGATGTAATGTCTTCTAATGCAATGGCACACAAGATCATGATTTGTTTCCTGAATGTGTGCTTGGACCAAGACAATTTTTCATAATTTTGTCTTTTCTACAAACCTTCTGTAAATCAAATTTCTTAACAGCGTTGACGTGTTAGCCAATAAATATGTGTTTGTGTTTCAGGTGGGACCACTCCTGCTCAATGGGAAGACATCACTGGCTCCACGCCTCTCACCTTTGTTAACCAATGTGTGTCCTTCACCACAAATGTGTCAGCGAGGTAAATTCTTCCTATGTTTTCACATTAGGAAGTCAAGTGTCCTTTTGATCTGAGGTTTTTTGTAACCAACTTTATATTAAATGTTCTAGTCATCTTCACGAGATGATACAAACATACAGATACAAATTATTCAAATATAAATACAGAAAAAGACAATTAGAGTAGGTAGTCCCTTGTTGCTCTAGGAATAGCCAGGCAAGTTGTATGTGTATTTCAAGTCTTGGAAGGACATTGAGTTTTTATTGTTGATTTTATCAGAAAAATAATGTACTCCACATGTTTGTCACTGTAGGAAAAACTTTGATGTGCTCTTTTTGTTTTTTGTAAGTGAATTGATTAAATGTGTACCTCATATTCCTAGGTTCTGGCTAATAGACTGCAGACAGATCCAGGAGTCTGTTAGCTTTGGCTCACAGCTGTACAGAGAGATCATCTGTGTTCCATACATGGCAAAGTTTGTCATTTTTGCTAAGACACTGGACCCTATCGAGGCCCGCCTGCGCTGTTTCTGCATGACAGACGACAAGATGGACAAGACCCTGGAGCAGCAAGAGAACTTCACTGAAGTCGCCCGTAGCCGAGATGTTGAGGTGCAGTATGATGATGATTGCAAAATTGTTAATCTTAGTGAGATGTGATGACAAATGAGAGATGTAAAGCTGAAATAACCCAAGAAATCTGCATGTCAGAGGTATATTCTAATCTAAATGGTTTATTTTAATCAATGACACAGTTCTCATATCCAAACACAGGTGCTAGAGGGAAAACCCATATTTGCTGACTGCTTTGGAAACCTGGTGCCTCTTACCAAGAGTGGACAACACCATGTGTTCAGCTTCTATGCTTTCAAAGAAAACAGACTGGCCCTCTTCATCAAAGTATGACTACACACTGGATTAACATGTTTGAAATGTCTACTGATGTACACAGATATTCAGAAATACATATATATTTATATGAAAATGTATGTAATGTATGCTTGTATATAATTATTGACTACATTCTTGTTTAATAAATGGACAGATCAGAGACACAGCACAGGAGCCATGTGGTCGCTTGTCCTTCACCAAGGAACCGCGTACATATCGTACTCTTAACCATACTGCTATCTGCAACCTTAACATCACTCTCCCAACATACTCAAAGGTTGGTTTGAATGCATCACAGTAGGAATTGAAATACAAATAGTAAGTTATTTGTAGTTACAGTAACTGCATTGTCTGTTTTATTATTCACTTTAGGAGTCTGATTCCGACCAAGATGCAGATGACGAGGTAAATAAAGTTGAATTGATACTGTACTACAACAAAAAATAATAATATGATGAAAAGGTTGCATCTAACTAGACTTTATTTTTACTTTTTTGCAGAGTGAAAGAAGTGATAAAAAATGTAAGTTGGACTCTGTCGTTTTGTGTTCATGTTAGAGTGTTTAAACGCCTTTAGAATTGGGTGGTGTTGTTAATTACACACATATTTAAGATTAAGATGTATGCATTTGAGAAATGTTACAGTCTATTTTTCAATGGCTGGTTTTCATAGTGAAGGTACCAGTATATATTTTTGTAATCAATATACTGTGTATTTATTTTTCCAGTTACACACAATATTAATTGGAATCTTGTCACATGCTTAAGACAACATTACTGGTCATAGTGGTTGTCAAGTGTTTGTTTAGAAATATGAACTTCTGTATGTGCTAATAAATGCACTGATTAATAGATGTTAATTCCCATTTAAATTAACCCTGCTGTCCCATTTTGCTCTACTAACACTCTGATTGGTCAAATGTACTGGCGGCAATGCTATGGCTGATGTACTCTGCATTCCCCTCACTCCAACCCCCACTGACTTTTCCTACCCATTAACATTTATTCTTTGATTTTTTTATTAATCATAAGACAAGGTCAAAATAATACTTTTTTTGCTCAAATCCAATAAATTTGCTTCAAAATGCTAATGTCAGAAGCTTTAATAGAACTAATTATGTTTTCTGGTAATATTATAAAAGTATTATTTTGACTAAATATTTACCCAAGTAACGATTTTAAAGTGTGTGTGGTTTTTTTTGCCGGTTTATTTGTATTATTACAACAATTTCCCTATGATCTTGGCCATTTCTTTCTTTTTTTCATTCAATTTCACTACTTTCGTTTAGCAACTTGTTGTTTTCATTCATTTTTTGAGTATTACTTTAATCAAATTCAAAATAACATTTTTACATAATTGTTATACAACATCACTACTGCTTGTCTGTATGTGAACTTATATTACTATATGTTCATAAAAGAAAGTAACTATAACTTACAAATTGTATCTTTAATGATATTTGATACCCTGGAAATATCAATAAATAATGTAAAGTGATACATCACTTTACATTACTTACAAGAACACACACAGATACAGTAACAGACACTAGATTTCTTTACATTAAATACTCACTTCAGACCTCCTCTTAAAATGCTATTATGATCAGTATTATAAGTTATTCATATTTGTCTATGTTTTAAAACTTTAATTTGTAGGCAGACATGACTCTTCATGTCAGTAACAATCTTGAGAAGTTTTGTTTGTCTGTTGTCCTTCCTTCCTTTTCCTTTGCTGTATTTTTGGATTTCCCTGTGTTTCTTTTTGTATTCTTTGTGTTACTTCCTAAATATGTAGTCGAACAAATTAAGTATATATTATTCTCTACCATTTTCTACCTGCCTTTTTTTACTCCTCCTGGCTTTGCTTATGCTGTTGCTGCTCTTCTCTTCTTCAAAGTCATCTGGATACCTTTGTCATCTTCTTTTTTACCTATTTTTTTAGACTTCCGTTTCCTCTGCCCTGTCATTGCTCTCTTTATTCTGTGAACTGAAGATGGATTTTTGATGGCATTGTCTTGATCACAATTTTCTGATGTCTCTCTTTCCCACTTCATTTGTCCCTTATGTTCTCTACCCTTTTTGGTCATGAAACTTTTAAACTGAAGATGATGAGTCTGAATCAACTGAGACATTCTCCCTGAGAACTAACCAACCTCTTGACCCTGCAACCCTTGCAAGCCCAGACCTTCTCTCGGAAATATCGGACATCAAAATGTCTGCTAATTTGACTGCTGAGCAAATGGAGCACTCAATATATGAGGAGAGAGCTGGAGCTAGAGGGTTGGAAGACAAAGAGCCTTTGTCTATTTTGTCAGAAGAAAGGGAGGAAAAGGTTGGAGGGATTCAAAAATGTGGCCTAAACGATAGTAGACATGAAGTTCAACGAGATAATGCTCAAAAAGAGAAAAGGGGTGCAATCTATGAGACTACGACTGTTGAAATAAATTATCACCCTTTCGAGGAACAAGTCTTACAGGAGATGTGCATTGAGGGGAAGACAAGTAGGTCCGCCCCAGAGGTCAGAAACATGACTGGTCTGGTCTCAAGCCTCAGCATCGACATGGACCAATACATGGAACAGAGACCTGTAGTGACATTTAGTTCTCAAGAAGATCTTGTCCAAGATAGATTTGAACAGGTTATTAAAGACCGCGACGGCAAACGACGTCCTCCAGTTATCAAGAAACCTATTAGGAAGAAACTTAGAGACAGAGAGCGTTCTGGGTGCAGCAGCTCCGAGGGTGAGATGGAAAGGATGAGTTCTGAGGAGTCTTTAGATGGCGATGTTGTTCTTAAGGAAAGTGCCCTTGTACCCACCACAGTTATGGATCCTCCAGCTTCTCCTTTAGTGGTTGAGACATCTATAGGATCAATACAGGACAGAGTTAAAGCTTTACAGAACACATTTGAAGATGAGAAAGTGCAACAACATTCTCAGGAACCAATTCCTCTGGGAAAATCTTCTATTGACACAACAAAGAAAAAGGCAGACATGCCCGAACTTCCGAGAGTTCCCAAGTCCCCTAAATCACCTAGATCTCAGACAGAGAGATTAGAGGAGACAATGTCTGTCAAGGAACTGATGAGCGCATTTCAGACTGGACAGGACCCTTCAAAAAATAAAGTTGGCCTCTTCGAGCATAAAGCAGTGGCCTCTTCTTGTATTTCAACATTGATATCTGAATCAGGAGATTCTGATGAAATACAGAGGACAGAAGAAAGACCAATGGAGGAGCCAAAATCACAAACCCAAACTCAAATCCTCACAACTTCCTATAAAGAGATAGATGATGAACCTGTAAGCCTATTTAGAGACAACTCTCATGAAAATGTCATTTCGAATAGTGCTTATTATGGAAAGACTGTACATGTTTCTGATCAAATTCAAGGTGACGATTCAAGCATTAGTCCACAGAGAGAGGCACACGAGATGTCAAAGGAGGAGACCATGTCTGTCAAGGAACTGATGAGCGCATTTCAGACTGGACAGGACCCTTCAAAAAATAAAGTTGGCCTCTTCGAGCATAAAGCAGTGGCCTCTTCTTGTATTTCAACATTGATATCGGAATCAGGAGATTCTGATGAAATACAGAGGACAGAAGAAAGACCAATGGAGGAGCCAAAACCACAAACTCAAATCCTCACAACTTCCTATAAAGTGATAGATGATGAACCTGTAAGCCTATTAAGAGACAACTCTCATGAAAATGTCATTTCAAATAGTGCTTATTATGGAAAGACTGTACATGTTTCTGATCAAATTCAAGGTGATAATTCAAGCATTAGCCCACAGAGAGAGGCACAAGAGATGTCAAAGGAAGAGACCATGTCTGTCAAGGAACTAATGAGCGCATTTAAGACTGGACAGGACCCTTCAAAAAATAAAGCTGGCCTCTTTGAGCATAAAGCAGTGGCCTCTTCTTCTATTTCAACATTGATATCTGAATCAGGAGATTCTGATGAAATACAGAGGACAGAAGAAAGACCAATGGAGGAGACCATGTCTGTGAAGGAAGTGATGAAAACATTCCAGACTGGGAGTGATTCCTCAATAACTAAAGTAGGGCTACTTGAAAACAAAGTTGAGTCTTCTTGCATTTTAACATCAATGTCTGAATCAGAAGATTCTGTAGGGATTTGCACAACTGAACAAAGTGCTACACAATTCCAAACTAAGAGCCTCTCAGTGTTCCATCCTCAGAGTGAGGTCAAGAAGTGTGAAACAGGCCTGGAGGATCAACCAGTTAGTTTAATCAGAGATAACTCTGATGAATCACAGTTGATTTCAGATTGCAGCTTGACTTTTAGAAAGACGGTAACATTTGCTGAAACAGTCAAATGTGATGAAGACGCTGAGTTGTCAGAGAAGGACACCATGTCTGTTAAAGAGCTGATGAAAACATTCCAGACTGGGCATGATCCCTCAAAAACTAAGGAAGGGCTTTTTGAACACAAACCTGTTGCTTCTGCTTCTATTTCAACAATCATATCTGAATCAGGAGATTCTAAAGAGATTCAAGCAACTGAACACGGTGCTAAAGAAGGGACAAAATCACAAACCCTAACTCAGAATCTCACAATTTTACACCAACAGAGTGATGCCAACAGCTCTTGCTCAACAGAACCAGAGGATCAACCAGTCAGCTTAAGCAGAGATAACTCTGAAGAATCACAGACAATTTCAGATAGGGCCTATTTTGGAAAGACGGTAACATTTGCTGAAACAGTCAAATGTGATGAAGACGTTGGCCCACAGAAAGAGACATCTGAGTTGTCAGAGAAGGACACCATGTCTGTAAAAGAGCTGCTGAAAACATTCCAGACTGGGCATGATCCCTCAAAAACTAAAGCTGGACTTTCTGAACACAAAGCTGACACTTCTTGCATTTCAACATTGATACCTGAATCAGAAGATTTTGAAGAAATACAATCGACTGAACAAAGTGCTATGCAGGAGCCCAAATCACAAACCCACACAGCTGACAGCGTCAGAAATGCCCACGAGGAATTAGAGACCATTTCAGATGTTGTAAAGACAGTCAAATTTACTGAAACACTTTCATGTGACGATGGTAGTATAAGTCCACAGACAGAGGCACCAGAGTTGTCAGGGACAGCGACATCGTCTGTAAAGGACCTGATGAAAGCATTCCAGACTGGACAAGACCTTTCAAAAAGTAAAGCTGGGATAAGTGCACACAAATCCATTGCTTCTTCTTGTATTTCAACAACAATATCTGAATCAGAAAGGCCTGAAGACATACAGACAACTGAACACGGTCCCACACAGGCGCCAACATTGCAAGCAATAACCTTAAAGAGAGATAACTCTGAGGAGTTACAACTCGTTTCAGATATTGCTTATTTCGGAAAGACAGTGGAAATTGATGATACAGTTCAGTTTGATGATGGAAAGGTTAGCCCTAACAGAGAAGAGTCAGAGTTTTCAGGGAATGACTGGGGCAAGATGCAGTTGGAAAAACCACACATAAGCACCAGTAGAAGTTTATCTGAAGACATGCATATCAGCCCTGATCGCAGACCTTCTGAGGATTTCAGTGCTGATATAAAAGCTGAGCTGGAAGAAAGCCCCGAGTACCAGCTTTTTAAGAGAACATCAACAGCTGAAGATGTAAGCAATCAGCGGGAGGTATCCGAGGATGAAACCATAGCTGATTCTAATACAAATCCAGCCCCCATCTCTAGTCCCTGTTTAAAAAGCTATTTTGGGGGACGTGCTTCTCCTATTGAAAATCAAATAAAAGATGATAATCCAAGTCCTGAGAATCCTGAGCATCAAGATATGGCTGATTCCTTAATCGCTGATGTTGATATTAGGACACCTCATGCCAGCCCAGAGGAAAGTGACTACTATCAAGGACTCGCAGTGACACATCAACAGACCAATGAAATGCTTGCTTACTCTACTAAAAGAGAGAAAACAGACATCATGCCTTCACAGGAAAAAATACTTCATGAAGCAAGCAGAGATGATACAAAGATTGATTATGGGAGCAAAACATTTATTACACAAACTGACACTAAGGTAACAGAGGTGGAAATCAAGGAGCCACTTCATCAAGAAGTCCACATTGAGAGGAACACATTTAGCCAGGCACCCAATGCAGTAAAAGATATGTCAGGGATGTTGTCTTTAATGAACAGGGACTTGGATCAGTATCTAAAAGCAAGGCCTGTAGTAAGTCAGTCACCAGACATGGATATTGTTCAAGAAACATTTGAACAAATTATTTTAACAAAGGAAAAAGATAAAGTAATTCTTACATTTGTCAATAGTGAAAATAACGGAGCAGTAGGGGGAACAGCAGGGAGCACAACACAAAAACCAGATCACGCACCAGCAGAAGAACATCCAATTACATGGGGTGATGAAAAAATAGACAGTGAATTTAAAGAAGCCAAAAAAGTGAAAGAGACGTTTGGAAGTTTGTCAGTCTTGAACAATGATATCGATCAATATCTAGAGGCTATGCCTGTTGCTCGTCCAACAATAGAAGAGGATAATGTGCAGGACACATTTGAAACTATCAAAACTTTTACTGCTGAAAATAAACGAGCAACAGTGGATGGCACAACACAAGAAACAGTTTTTGTAACAGAAAACGATAAGGTCACAGAGAGAGATGAAGAAATTGAAAGAAGTTTCAAAGAAACCACAGTAACCCTGAATGAAGAACTACCAATGGAGGACAAGCAGAGAAAGACTTCAAATCAGCCATCTACAAAAGTAAAGGAGATGTCAGGCATGCTATCACTACTCAATAGTGACATGGACACGTACCTCAAGGAGAGGCCAGTGAAATATAGACCTCAAGTAAAGGACGCAATCCAGGAGACATTTGAACAAGTTACCCTCACCAAAAACCAAAAATCTTCTAAAACACATCAGTTAAGTAGTACTGACGTGGATGATAATATAAGTGCAGAAACATATGAACATTCTGATGTGGTTGAAATCAAGGAACTTACGCCAGGTTCTGTATTGGAGACATCATTCCAAGAAGTTTGCATGGAAATACATCCGGAAAAGTCTACAACTGAGAGGGATATGTCAGGCATGTTGTCGCTTCTCAGTGGTGACTTGGATCAATATCTCAAAGAAAAGCCAGTGGCAATACAATGCCAACCAGAAAAAGCAGATCTAGTCCATGAGAGCTACAAACAAGTTATACTGACGAGTAGTAACTCCGAGGAAAATATTGATGTAAAAGCAAATGAAGACAGCCAGACCAACGTAGTTAGAGTCACAGAATTGTCTCCAAGCTCTGTATATGAGACACCATTGGAAGAAGTTTGCATTCAGAGGAAGTCACAACAAGAAAAGTCTGCAACTGAGAGGGATATGTCAGGCATGTTGTCACTGCTCAGTACGGACTTAAATCATTACTTAAAGGAAAAGCCTATGGTTTTACAATGTCCCCCAGAAGAGCAGGTAGTCCTTGAGAGCTACACGCAAATTATACTAACTAAGGAAACTAACAGGGAAAGTCTTTCAAATTCCCCTGAACATAGGATGTCACCACAAGAAACACACTTAGAATTTGTGGACTTTAATGAAAAGAAAACCTTGAAAAGTGGATGGCAGACATGTTCCCACGAAGATGAAGGACCCAAGAGCTTTTCAGCTGAAACAAGTGAGGCTAAAACCTCACCATGTGCAGCATCATATTTCCATGACTCTACTGATGAGGCGTTCTGCAATACAAAGTCATATTTAGCAATTAATGACTGTAATAATGGTCATAAAGACACATATTTGCAACTACCGAGTAGTTCTGACACATCACAACGACCGTTTCATTTGGAGAACTTAAACACTGTGGTTGATAGTGACCCAATTATAATGGCATACCATCAAGACTCGCTAGAGGCAAGTCCTGTAATGGAGGATAGATCTTCAGACAGATCCCCAGATTCAATTGAGCCAAGCCCTAGCAGAGAATCTCCTTGTCCAGACTCTCTTGAGGGAAGTCCCACTCAATCTAAAGAGTCAGAATGTGAGATTCCAGCCAAAACGGCTGTGTATGAGGACTATGCCTCACAGCTTAAAGCATGTTATAATTATGACAACAATATCTACATGGATGACAGTGAACGTGGTGAGCCAGAAATCAACTACGAGATCATCCAAAATGAAAGGGGGATTAAGGAGGACATTCATTCCTGCTCAGAATCCATAACTGGCAATATGTTTTCTGACAGCAACATATGCGACAGCAAGAATCTTCACATGTGCATAAGGCAAGACTCTCTCGAAGCAGACGATAGTGAGAATGATGCCACCAATAAACATCTTACCCCAGAAGAGGATATGTTCAAAATGGCAGCAAAGATCAAAACATTTGATGAGATGGATCAGGAATATAATATGAAGAGAGACAAATTAGAGACAGGGGATCTCAGAGAAGATCATCCAGATCAAAACCTTCACCCAGGTTTAAAGACCTTCTCACAAAATACACCTGAGACACTTAGTGAGGCAACAGGTATTAGTGTTAAAATCAAAGAGGAGGTGGAAAATCAGTCACAACTATCTGTCTTGCGGTCAGCAGAAGGAGGACCGGATATATATAAAGATAAAGATGCTGTAGAAGGTGACCAGCCATCTGTAACTGAAACACCTTTTACCAGTCACGTGAAAGGTGAGCACCATTCAGATGATGACAACGAAGTTCAGTCACCACTTACAGGTTCAAGTGATGTTAGTCAATCTTATGCTATGGTGTGTACTGAGGAACAAGAATCTGTCATTGCAGGGTTTAAGGCTAAAAATGATGCAGTCCTAAATTCACAGCTTGAGGCTGAGGAACATATTAATATTAGTCCTTCAGACGACCGTAAAACTCCTGATGAAACACCTGTTCGAACCCCTAGTGACAAGAGAACCCCTGATCCATTCCAGTTTCAAGAGGGAAAGCTTTTTGAAATGACCAGAGGGGGAGCTATTGATATGACAAGAAGTTTTGATGAAGGAGAAGCATATGCATTTTTCCATATAGGGGAACATTCAGTGGATGAAGTTGTACCAAAGATGACTGGGGAAGGTCAAACAGAGTATTTATCTTTCGAGAATAGTGATTATATTACAGAAACAACTCTTCAAGAGTGTCAGGGTGCCAATAAAACCATTCCTACTCCCAAACCCAGAACTCTCATCAAACACTCAAGTGACAAGTCAGAGAGCGGGAAGCCACTTTGTGAAGCTAATCTTGGCAGTTCCGTAGAGGTTCAGCTTGGTTCCCCCAGTTCTATGGAGAGACTTACCATCATTCAGAGTGACGCTGGAAATCTTGAGAGCCTTGGTCTTGGCTATCTGGACTCTACCATTGCAGACCTTCAATCAGAGATAACATTAACAGCAACCTCAAAGCAGAGCCATGGTTCCTCAGAATCCTCTCCTGATGATGATGATGAGGAGGAGGAGGAAGATGAGGAAGATGAGGAAGATGAAGAAGATCAGTGCTCGGTTATAGAGGTGTCCTCAGCATATCATCATGATTCCCCTCCACATTCAGAAATAACCTTGAAAGACTCACAGAATTCTGAGGTTGATTGCGTTAAAAAGAAATTAGACACAAGCTCAACTTTGGAACGTAGGACTAGATCTGAGGCGGATAGCGACACAAATCAATCCTCTATTAAAGCCCACAGGAGTTATTCTGACAGTAGTCAACCAATTGATAAATCCAGCCTTTCCCCTTCCAAATGTCCTGTTATGATGCAACAGAAATCTCCAACTCAGAGAATCTCCTCCTTTCACCAAAAGAAAGGAGTCCAACTCTCTACAACAACAGACACATCTGTTAGGTCTTTGGATGCTGATGATCTGTATAGTCCAGACTCTGTTATCTTCACTTATGACATCCCAGCCTCACACAGTTCTGATTCTGAAGGCAATTTGTTGCCAGTGGTGCAACCATCTTCTGGGAGAGAAGATGTTTTTGAATCAAGGCCTGCCTGGGATGACACAGTGGAAACTCAGATGCAGAGAAACAACGATGAGCCATCTCCAAAATGTATGCCAGGTATGGCCAGACCTACATGAGCTTTTGCTTTCCTATCTCCTGTCCTTGGCAAAAAGACCCATTTTCCTTAGAATATGTCAAGAAAGTCATTTGTGCTGATTTCATGTTTTTTTATTTGTCTTGTGCCAATTTGCATCTCCTTTTCTTTCCTTTTCTTTTTGTATTATTCTGTGTGTGGGTGTGTGTGTTTGTGTAAGCGTTTGTGTGTTTTGCATGATGGTTATTTACTTTTACATCTGTTTCTGCAATCTCAAGATTGAATGGCCTTATTGTTAAAGAAGAAGTAGCTTTGACAATTTGTTTTGTATTGGTATATGACATGTACTACTAATACAGCTTTACTAATATTAACATCAACACTACTTTACCAGCACATTACTGTCATTGCTTGTACTAATGATTAAAAATATAATCTGCTAATTGTGACCAAATTATCATAGCCTGTAAACAAGTTAGAACTCCTCTTCTTAGGGACAAATCCAACATCTATGTGTTCATTTATGTCAACATTACATACATTTAATTTCAGAGTATAACAGCCTATACCATACAATCCTCACATATTAATTACATAAAGATATGCACATCAAATATTGTGTATATATGACTGGTACCTGCAATGGGAAAAAAGCTTTACTTATATATATGTATGGGTAATGGTATTCTACACCTTGAACTATTGACCATGATAATAAAACGTAATGACTGGCTCTTACGGCAATTTCTTTAGTGGATTGGCAGGATGATGCTGACAGGAAAGAGGAGACATTAGCTATCGTTGCAGATCTTCTTGGTTTCAGCTGGACTGGTAAGTTGTCAAATAATGTAATCATTTTGCTAGCATTTTGTCTTTTATGTTGTATGTATCCATGTTCTAGCTGCTAAACAAATAAAATATGGTTTACATTGTCATCCCATTTTTAACGCTCTAGAACTGGCAAGAGAACTGGAATTCAGTGAAGATGATATTAAATTAGTGCGAACAAAGAATCCTAATTCCCTCCAAGAGCAGAGCCATGCCTTGCTGCAGCGCTGGGTTGAGCGGGAAGGCAAACATGCCACAGGTACATTGCGTGATGGTCTGAAAGATTTTAAGTGACATTTTAGTTGGATTTGTAAATAAAAACACTTTGAATCCTGAACATTTCTTAGTTTGAATGTGATGATTTGTGTATCCTATAGATCTATATATTAACACTAGATGTAATGTAAACTTACATTTGCAATTTATAAATCATTACTTTTTTGTGTTAATTATATGTTTGTTTTACAGTTTTTTACTCTATTAATGATTGTTTCAATCTCTCCACAGAGGACTGTCTTATTAAGAGACTAACCAAGATCAACCGCATGGACATTGTCCATCTCATTGAAACCCAGATGAACAAGTCAGTTCAAGAGCAAACATCTAGAACATATGCAGAGATCGAGAAGACACTGGATCACAGTGAAGGTACCCAAATAAACCACCAATTTGAAAGCTCTATCTCAAACCAGGCTATATTTAATTTGTTGTTAGCACAATGTTCAGCTTATTCATCAAGTGTGTGTTTTTTCAGTGTCAGTAGCCCTATCTTTAGTTCAAGAGGATGCAGACAGCCCCCGAATCGTAAGAAGGGTGGAGTCAGACCGCAGACCACCCCCAGCTGTTTCTGAAGAGGACCTATCAGTTGCTTCGCTACTGGATATTACTTCCTGGGCAGAGCCTGCTGGACACACGCACTCAGAGAGCATGCATGGTGACCTGTTGGAGGACCTTGAGATCCCACAGTAAATTATTTATTTAAAATAATTCCCTGAATCTGCATCACACATCGACAGCATAAAATTGTCCCACATAATTTGACCTTTCTTGCCCAATAAGCATAAAGACATATACTTATTTATTTGTTATGGAGGTTAATATAGAACAATGTCATTAAACAACAATGTTTAGTCTCGTTAAAATGGGGCTTTGACATAATGTATTAATGCTAAGTCGTATTTTGTGACATAGTCTTCTTTCTGTGTTACAGTGAATTGAACCCTAACCTGTGGACCTCTGAGGATTTTATTACACAAGAACCTACAAGTAATGATCATTCTAATGAGCAAGTGAGTACACTTTCCACTTCAAAAGAAGAAGCACTGGGGAGCCACGCGACACAGGTTTATGGCCTCAAAGTGAAAGAACAGCAAGATTGCTGCAGTGTTTATTTCACCAGGTCTTTCCAAGGTGGCCCTCTAATTCAAAGCCAAGTCAAAGATGACACCAGCCAATCATTACCATTGAAGCAGTGTGTTCTGGAAGATGAGCAAGGGCAATCAACTATATTTCTGGAGTTACCATCATCAATATCTGTCAGAGACTTTGGTTTGAGCCTATCAGAGTCAGACCAAGCTGAGACTGACTTCAGTGAGCTTTGCAATAAGTCAAGCTATGCACCAGAGCATACAGACACGTCTAAAAGCATTGTCAGAAGATGTCAGTTGTCTGACCCTAGCCTGTTAGTCTTACCACCAGAGGACCACCAAACAACTCTGGTCATGACTGAATATGACACAGATGTAGCTAGAAAAAGCAGGCTCTCTCAGAAGTGTACTGATGTACTGTTTGATCATGACAAGATCTCACTGATTGCAGGTAGAGATAAGGGGTTCAAACACATCAATTCAGGCAAGAAAGATAATACAAAACCCAAAGTGTGCAATGAAGGGTATTGGGGAAACATGCCCTTCATTGATGATTTCATTGAACCCATTATTGCAACAGCAAAGTACAGCATGATGAAACCATTTGAAATGAAGGAACCAGAGACCAAGTTTCCTGACAGTCTTACAACGAGTTGCCCTTCTCACATGGCTTTTGACTCAACTGATAGCAACTCTCTTGTGCTACAAGCACCTGAGGATGATGTGACATTTCCTTTCACTTTTTTAGAATACAGCCCCTTCACCCCTGATAATTTGGCATCTGAGGAGCAGGGTAGCCCATTGTTACCTGTTAATGAAAGGGGCCTTCTCAGAAGACCTTCCTCGCCAGATTCACAGACTTCTCAGTGCAGTTTCTCATTTGTTGAACTCATACTCTCAGAACCTATTCGCGCCCAACTTATGAGTCAATATTGTGATTATTATTTACTATATACAGCGGGAAATCTACCCTTGCAACCACTGACGTCAGTTCCTTACACTACATTCTGCAACTACCCAACTGAACTGCGTCAGGGTGACCCTTTGACAACAGAATTAGTAGCTTCAAATCGTTTGCAATATTCTATGAATGCACCATCACCTCTTGATAAATGTTCCGATAAAAAAAGCAGATATGCACCAGGTTTATTGACATGGCAGGTAAGAGCTGGAGAAAGGGCACCGATGTTTGGTACTGATGTTCCAGCCTCAAAATACCTTTCACATTCTGATGTCAAAAGTATCTATAGTGTAGATACAGACTGTTTGAGTCAAAACGAGTCAGGGTCATTTCAGTTATGTCCATCCTCATCTGAAGCACCAAAACCATCACAGAAAAGTAGTCAATGTTTCCTTGATTACTGGTTTTCTAAGTTAAAGCCAAATTCCTCTGAATGCATACAATCACAATGTCATTCTGATGATCATTTAACAAACATTAAACACAACACCTTAAAGCACAATGAAAAACAAAACTCATTCACAAAAAACTCTGATCTCACATATCAAAACAAATCTGGAGAGTCTTGTCACATTTTCCAACAACAACAAACACCCACTCCAATGGTCTTTAACTTGGTGGAGAGACCAACATTCATTTTTGAGTTTCCAAATAAAATTAGGTTTGATGAGAACAGACGAGATTCTCCGCAATCAGAAGTTTCAGACTATAAACTTGATGTGCTATTTAGTAGCAGGACATTGTCCCCAGAATCCATCTCTTCTGATTTTGACTTTTGTTTTCTGCAGGACTGGTTAGCAGACTTTAGAGCATCCTCCCCAGATTATCTGGAGTCCGTTGGGCAACATTCCTTCTCTTGTGCAATGACATTTGGCCAAATGGAAAGTCAACATTGTGACTACTACTTGCACTACTCTCAAAATAGACCAGTATCACCTTTTTCAACACTGTCAGATATTGAGTATTTCGGATTCTGTCTCGAGGAATTATTTGATGAAAATAGACCAGATTCGCCAGATTCATCTATCTTACCAGTTGGTGCTGAACAATCAAGCATAACGATATCTGGGTCCCAACCATTGTCCACAGCAAGAGCTCTTACATATGCAGATGTTGTGCGAGGCGTAACGCATGAAAGTATAGCAGAAGCTTTGTTGGTCTGCAAACCATTTGAATTTGTTCCTATTTGGCCTCAGTTAGAGTCATCAGACAACAAGTGGACTAACTCCTCAATAGAGGACTGGGTCACTAAAGTGGAATCACAGTCTCCCAAGGCAGTGGCGTCTCATAGTGGACAAAGACCACTTTCTTCTGACTCACCAGTTCCACAGTTCAGATTTCCCCATATCTGTTACGATTCGGAATTGTCAAGGAACAGGTCATTCACACCACAATCAACATTTTCAGACTGGGAAGGTACTGATCTGTGTCTAGAAACCATATTCGACACTGCCAGACCAGATTCTCCCCAGTCAGTGTTTTCAGACTATGAACTTGATGTGTTATTTAGTAGCAGGGCATTGTCCCCGGACTCCATGTCATCTGATTTTGACTTTTGCACCTGCAGGACTGGTTAGCAGACTTTAAAGCATCCTCCCCAGAGTCAGTGGCATCTCAAAGTGAACATAGGCCAGTCTCTCCAGACTCACCTGTTCCTCAGTACAGTTGTCAGTATCTGGGTGAACATGTGGAATTGTCAAGGCAAAGGTCATTTACACCACAATCATTATTTTCTGATTGGGAAAGTACTGATCTGTGTCAAGAAAACCTATTTGACCCTACCAGACCAGATTCTCCCCAGTCAGTGTTTTCAGACTATGCACTTGACGTGCTATTTAGTAGCAGGGACATTGTCCCCAGAATCCATCTCTTCTGATTTTGACTTTTCTTTTCTGCAGGACTGGTTAGCAGACTTTAGAGCATCCTCCCCAGATTATCTGGAGTCAGTTGGGCAACATTCCTTCTCTTGTGCAATAACCTTTGGCATAATGGAAAGTCAACATTGTGACTACTACTTGCACTACTCTCAAAATAGACCAGTATCACCTTTTTCAACACTGTCAGATATTGAGTATTTCGGATTCTGTCTCGAGGAATTATTTGATGAAAATAGACCAGATTCGCCAGATTCATCTATCTTACCAGTTGGTGCTGAAAAATCAAGCATAACTATATCTGGGTCCCCACCATTGTCCACAACAAGAGCTCTTACATATGCAGATGTTGTGCGAGGCCTAACGCATGAAAGTATAGCAGAAGCTTTGTTGGTCTGCAAACCATTTGAATTTGTTCCTATTGGGCCTCAGTTAGAGTCATCAGACAACAAGTGGACTCACTCCTCAATAGAGGACTGGGTCACTAAAGTGGAATCACAGTCTCCCAAGGCAGTGGCGTCTCATAGTGGACAAAGACCACTTTCTTCTGACTCACCAGTTCCACAGTTCAGATTTCCCCATATCTGTTACGATTCGGAATTGTCAAGGAACAGGTCATTCACACCACAATCAACATTTTCAGACTGGGAAGGTACTGATCTGTGTCTAGAAACCATATTCGACACTGCCAGACCAGATTCTCCCCAGTCAGTGTTTTCAGACTATGAACTTGATGTGTTATTTAGTAGCAGGGCATTGTCCCCGGACCCCATGTCATCTGATTTTGACTTTTCACACCTGCAGGACTGGTTAGCAGACTTTAAAGTATCCTCCACAGAGTCAGTGGCATCTCAAAGTGAACATAGGCCAGTCTCTCCAGACTCACCTGTTCCTCAGTACAGTTGTCAGTATCTGGGTGAACATGTGGAATTGTCAAGGCAAAGGTCATTTACACCACAATCATTATTTTCGGATTGGGAAAGTACTGATCTGTGTCTAGAAAACCTATTTGACCCTACCAGACCAGATTCTCCCCAGTCAGTCATTTCAGACTATGCACTTGACGTGTTATTTAGTAGCAGGGCATTGTCCCCAGAATCCATCTCTTCTGATTTTGACTTTTCTTTTCTGCAGGACTGGTTAGCAGACTTTAGAGCATCCTCCCCAGATTATCTGGAGTCAGTTGGGCAACATTCCTTCTCTTGTGCAATAACCTTTGGCATAATGGAAAGTCAACATTGTGACTACTACTTGCACTACTCTCAAAATAGACCAGTATCACCTTTTTCAACACTGTCAGATATTGAGTATTTCGGATTCTGTCTCGAGGAATTATTTGATGAAAATAGACCAGATTCGCCAGATTCATCTATCTTACCAGTTGGTGCTGAAAAATCAAGCATAACTATATCTGGGTCCCCACCATTGTCCACAACAAGAGCTCTTACATATGCAGATGTTGTGCGAGGCCTAACGCATGAAAGTATAGCAGAAGCTTTGTTGGTCTGCAAACCATTTGAATTTGTTCCTATTGGGCCTCAGTTAGAGTCATCAGACAACAAGTGGACTCACTCCTCAATAGAGGACTGGGTCACTAAAGTGGAATCACAGTCTCCCAAGGCAGTGGCGTCTCATAGTGGACAAAGACCACTTTCTTCTGACTCACCAGTTCCACAGTTCAGATTTCCCCATATCTGTTACGATTCGGAATTGTCAAGGAACAGGTCATTCACACCACAATCAACATTTTCAGACTGGGAAGGTACTGATCTGTGTCTAGAAACCATATTCGACACTGCCAGACCAGATTCTCCCCAGTCAGTGTTTTCAGACTATGAACTTGATGTGTTATTTAGTAGCAGGGCATTGTCCCCGGACCCCATGTCATCTGATTTTGACTTTTCACACCTGCAGGACTGGTTAGCAGACTTTAAAGCATCCTCCCCAGAGTCAGTGGCATCTCAAAGTGAACATAGGCCAGTCTCTCCAGACTCACCTGTTCCTCAGTACAGTTGTCAGTATCTGGGTGAACATGTGGAATTGTCAAGGAACAGGTCATTCACACCACAATCAACATTTTCAGACTGGGAAGGTACTGATCTGTGTCTAGAAACCATATTCGACACTGCCAGACCAGATTCTCCCCAGTCAGTGTTTTCAGACTATGAACTTGATGTGTTATTTAGTAGCAGGGCATTGTCCCCGGACTCCATGTCATCTGATTTTGACTTTGCACACCTGCAGGACTGGTTAGCAGACTTTAAAGTATCCTCCACAGAGTCAGTGGCATCTCAAAGTGAACATAGGCCAGTCTCTCCAGACTCACCTGTTCCTCAGTACAGTTGTCAGTATCTGGGTGAACATGTGGAATTGTCAAGGCAAAGGTCATTTACACCACAATCATTATTTTCGGATTGGGAAAGTACTGATCTGTGTCTAGAAAACCTATTTGACCCTACCAGACCAGATTCTCCCCAGTCAGTCATTTCAGACTATGCACTTGACGTGTTATTTAGTAGCAGGGCATTGTCCCCAGAATCCATCTCTTCTGATTTTGACTTTTCTTTTCTGCAGGACTGGTTAGCAGACTTTAGAGCATCCTCCCCAGATTATCTGGAGTCAGTTGGGCAACATTCCTTCTCTTGTGCAATAACCTTTGGCATAATGGAAAGTCAACATTGTGACTACTACTTGCACTACTCTCAAAATAGACCAGTATCACCTTTTTCAACACTGTCAGATATTGAGTATTTCGGATTCTGTCTCGAGGAATTATTTGATGAAAATAGACCAGATTCGCCAGATTCATCTATCTTACCAGTTGGTGCTGAAAAATCAAGCATAACTATATCTGGGTCCCCACCATTGTCCACAACAAGAGCTCTTACATATGCAGATGTTGTGCGAGGCCTAACGCATGAAAGTATAGCAGAAGCTTTGTTGGTCTGCAAACCATTTGAATTTGTTCCTATTGGGCCTCAGTTAGAGTCATCAGACAACAAGTGGACTCACTCCTCAATAGAGGACTGGGTCACTAAAGTGGAATCACAGTCTCCAAAGGCAGTGGCGTCTCATAGTGGACAAAGACCACTTTCTTCTGACTCACCAGTTCCACAGTTCAGATTTCCCCATATCTGTTACGATTCGGAATTGTCAAGGAACAGGTCATTCACACCACAATCAACATTTTCAGACTGGGAAGGTACTGATCTGTGTCTAGAAACCATATTCGACACTGCCAGACCAGATTCTCCCCAGTCAGTGTTTTCAGACTATGAACTTGATGTGTTATTTAGTAGCAGGGCATTGTCCCCGGACCCCATGTCATCTGATTTTGACTTTTCACACCTGCAGGACTGGTTAGCAGACTTTAAAGCATCCTCCCCAGAGTCAGTGGCATCTCAAAGTGAACATAGGCCAGTCTCTCCAGACTCACCTGTTCCTCAGTACAGTTGTCAGTATCTGGGTGAACATGTGGAATTGTCAAGGAACAGGTCATTCACACCACAATCAACATTTTCAGACTGGGAAGGTACTGATCTGTGTCTAGAAACCATATTCGACACTGCCAGACCAGATTCTCCCCAGTCAGTGTTTTCAGACTATGAACTTGATGTGTTATTTAGTAGCAGGGCATTGTCCCCGGACTCCATGTCATCTGATTTTGACTTTTCACACCTGCAGGACTGGTTAGCAGACTTTAAAGTATCCTCCACAGAGTCAGTGGCATCTCAAAGTGAACATAGGCCAGTCTCTCCAGACTCACCTGTTCCTCAGTACAGTTGTCAGTATCTGGGTGAACATGTGGAATTGTCAAGGCAAAGGTCATTTACACCACAATCATTATTTTCAGATTGGGAAAGTACTGATCTGTGTCTAGAAAACCTATTTGACCCTACCAGACCAGATTCTCCCCAGTCAGTCATTTCAGACTATGCACTTGACGTGTTATTTAGTAGCAGGGCATTGTCCCCAGAATCCATCTCTTCTGATTTTGACTTTTCTTTTCTGCAGGACTGGTTAGCAGACTTTAGAGCATCCTCCCCAGATTATCTGGAGTCAGTTGGGCAACATTCCTTCTCTTGTGCAATAACCTTTGGCATAATGGAAAGTCAACATTGTGACTACTACTTGCACTACTCTCAAAATAGACCAGTATCACCTTTTTCAACACTGTCAGATATTGAGTATTTCGGATTCTGTCTCGAGGAATTATTTGATGAAAATAGACCAGATTCGCCAGATTCATCTATCTTACCAGTTGGTGCTGAAAAATCAAGCATAACTATATCTGGGTCCCCACCATTGTCCACAACAAGAGCTCTTACATATGCAGATGTTGTGCGAGGCCGAGCGCATGAAAGTATAGCAGAAGCTTTGTTGGTCTGCAAACCATTTGAATTTGTTCCTATTGGGCCTCAGTTAGAGTCATCAGACAACAAGTGGACTCACTCCTCAATAGAGGACTGGGTCACTAAAGTGGAATCACAGTCTCCCAAGGCAGTGGCGTCTCATAGTGGACAAAGACCACTTTCTTCTGACTCACCAGTTCCACAGTTCAGATTTCCCCATATCTGTTACGATTCGGAATTGTCAAGGAACAGGTCATTCACACCACAATCAACATTTTCAGACTGGGAAGGTACTGATCTGTGTCTAGAAACCATATTCGACACTGCCAGACCAGATTCTCCCCAGTCAGTGTTTTCAGACTATGAACTTGATGTGTTATTTAGTAGCAGGGCATTGTCCCCGGACCCCATGTCATCTGATTTTGACTTTTCACACCTGCAGGACTGGTTAGCAGACTTTAAAGCATCCTCCCCAGAGTCAGTGGCATCTCAAAGTGAACATAGGCCAGTCTCTCCAGACTCACCTGTTCCTCAGTACAGTTGTCAGTATCTGGGTGAACATGTGGAATTGTCAAGGAACAGGTCATTCACACCACAATCAACATTTTCAGACTGGGAAGGTACTGATCTGTGTCTAGAAACCATATTCGACACTGCCAGACCAGATTCTCCCCAGTCAGTGTTTTCAGACTATGAACTTGATGTGTTATTTAGTAGCAGGGCATTGTCCCCGGACTCCATGTCATCTGATTTTGACTTTGCACACCTGCAGGACTGGTTAGCAGACTTTAAAGTATCCTCCACAGAGTCAGTGGCATCTCAAAGTGAACATAGGCCAGTCTCTCCAGACTCACCTGTTCCTCAGTACAGTTGTCAGTATCTGGGTGAACATGTGGAATTGTCAAGGCAAAGGTCATTTACACCACAATCATTATTTTCAGATTGGGAAAGTACTGATCTGTGTCTAGAAAACCTATTTGACCCTACCAGACCAGATTCTCCCCAGTCAGTCATTTCAGACTATGCACTTGACGTGTTATTTAGTAGCAGGGCATTGTCCCCAGAATCCATCTCTTCTGATTTTGACTTTTCTTTTCTGCAGGACTGGTTAGCAGACTTTAGAGCATCCTCCCCAGATTATCTGGAGTCAGTTGGGCAACATTCCTTCTCTTGTGCAATAACCTTTGGCATAATGGAAAGTCAACATTGTGACTACTACTTGCACTACTCTCAAAATAGACCAGTATCACCTTTTTCAACACTGTCAGATATTGAGTATTTCGGATTCTGTCTCGAGGAATTATTTGATGAAAATAGACCAGATTCGCCAGATTCATCTATCTTACCAGTTGGTGCTGAAAAATCAAGCATAACTATATCTGGGTCCCCACCATTGTCCACAACAAGAGCTCTTACATATGCAGATGTTGTGCGAGGCCTAACGCATGAAAGTATAGCAGAAGCTTTGTTGGTCTGCAAACCATTTGAATTTGTTCCTATTGGGCCTCAGTTAGAGTCATCAGACAACAAGTGGACTCACTCCTCAATAGAGGACTGGGTCACTAAAGTGGAATCACAGTCTCCCAAGGCAGTGGCGTCTCATAGTGGACAAAGACCACTTTCTTCTGACTCACCAGTTCCACAGTTCAGATTTCCCCATATCTGTTACGATTCGGAATTGTCAAGGAACAGGTCATTCACACCACAATCAACATTTTCAGACTGGGAAGGTACTGATCTGTGTCTAGAAACCATATTCGACACTGCCAGACCAGATTCTCCCCAGTCAGTGTTTTCAGACTATGAACTTGATGTGTTATTTAGTAGCAGGGCATTGTCCCCGGACCCCATGTCATCTGATTTTGACTTTTCACACCTGCAGGACTGGTTAGCAGACTTTAAAGCATCCTCCCCAGAGTCAGTGGCATCTCAAAGTGAACATAGGCCAGTCTCTCCAGACTCACCTGTTCCTCAGTACAGTTGTCAGTATCTGGGTGAACATGTGGAATTGTCAAGGCAAAGGTCATTTACACCACAATCATTATTTTCGGATTGGGAAAGTACTGATCTGTGTCTAGAAACCATATTCAACACTACCAGACCAGATTCTCCCCAGTCAGTGTTTTCAGACTATGCACTTGATGTGTTATTTAGTAGCAGGGCATTGTCCCCGGACTCCATGTCATCGGATTTTGACTTTTCCACACCTGCAGGACTGGTTAGCAAACTTCAGAGCATCCTCCCCACATTATCTGGAGTCAGTTGAACAACATTCTTTGCCTTGTGCAATGACATTTGGCCAAATGAAAAGTCAACATTGTGACTACTACTTGCACTACTCTCAAAATAGACCAGTATCACCTGTTTCAATGCTGTCAGATGTAATGTGTTGCAGTTTACTGTTTGAAGCTAAACAAACTGCTGAAAGCTCTGCTTCAGTGCAAGTCACAGATAAAAATGACACTCTGCCAACCTTTCTCTAATGAATCCATGGCATCAGAATCCACAATATATACTAAAGAATACAAAGCAAGGCAAGGCAAGTTTATTTATATTGCACTTTTCAACACAAGGCAATTCAAAGTGCTTTACAAAAAATGAAAGAGAATAAGAAAATGGCATTTAAAATCAGTCATTAAAAAGAAAAGCTAATAAAATAAACATTAAAAGAAAAAATACATGGATAAAAGTTACAGTGCAATTAAACATTAAAAGAAAAAAAAAGTACATGGATAAAAGTTACAGTGCAGTCTAAGATATGAATAGTTCAATTAAAAGCAGCGACAAAAAGAAAAGTCTTCAGCCTGGATTTAAAAGTAGTCAGAGTTGCAGCGGACCTGCAGGTTTCTGGGAGTTTGTTCCAGAGATTTGGAGCATAATAACTGAACGCTGCTTCTCCATGTTTAGTTCTGACTCTGGGGACAGAAAGCTGACCAGTCCCTGAAGACCTGAGAGATCTGGATGGTTCATAATTTAGCAGGAGGTCAGAAATGTATTTTGGGCCTAAACCATTCAGTGCTTTATAAACCAGCAGCAGTATTTTGAAATCTATTCTTTGACACACAGGAAGCCAGTGTAAAGACTTCAGAACAGGAGTGATGTGATCCACTTTCTTAGTGTTAGTGAGGACTCGAGCAGCAGCGTTCTGAATTAGCTGCAGCTTTCTAATAGATTTTTTAGTGAGACCTGTGAAGACACCATTGCAGTAGTCGAGTCTACTGAAGATAAAAGCAAGTTTTTCCAAATCCTGCTGTGACATTAGTCTTTTAATCCTAGATATATTCTTTAGGTGATAGTAGGCTGATTTAGTAACTGTTTTAATGTGACTATTGAAACTCAGGTCAGAGTCCATGACTACACCTAGATTTCTGGCTTTATCTGTGGTTTTGAACATTGCAGACTGAAGCTCAGCGCTAACTTTTATACGTTCTGACTTGGCTCCAAAAACCATTACCTCAGTTTTATCTTTGTTTAATTGGAGAAAGTTCTGACACATCCAGTCATTGATTTGTTCAATGCACTTACTCAGTGTTTGAATTGGAGCATAGTCTCCTGGTGAAATTGTTACGTAAATTTGTGTGTCATCTGCATAGCTATGGTAACTTATTTAGTTGTTCTTCATTATCTGAGCCAGTGGTAGCATGTAGATGTTAAAGAGAAGAGGCCCCAAGATGGAGCCTTGAGGAACCCCACATGTCATATTTGTCAACTCAGATGTGTATTTACCTATAGAAACAAAGTTGTTTCTGTCCTTTAAGTAGGATTCAAACCAATTCAGAACTGTTTCCGAAAGTCCCACCCAGTTTTCCAGTCGGTCTAGTAATATGTTGTGGTCAACAGTGTCAAACGCAGCACTGAGATCTAATAATACTAACACTGAAGTTCTGCCACTGTCTGTGTTTAAGTGGATGTCATTGAAGACCTTTAAAAGAGCAGTCTCAGTGCTGTGGTTTGGACGAAAGCCTGACTGGAACACATCAAAACAGTCATTTAAATGCAAGAAATTACTCAACTGTTGAAAAACAACTTTTTCAATGATTTTACCTAGAAATGGGAGGTTTGATATGGGCCTGTAATTGTTCATTACTGAAGCATCTAGATTATTCTTTTTTAAGAGCGGTTTAATGACTGCAGTTTTCAGGGCCTGTGGAAAAATACCTGAGTGAAGAGATTTGTTTACTATATGAAGTAGATCTGAGGCCATGCAAGGAAAAACATCTTTGAAAAATCCTGTTGGAATAATATCAAGGCAGCAGGAGGAGGATTTCAGAAGTTGAATAATGTCCTCTAGGTTTTTATCATTAATCTGATGGAATTGTGTCATGATGTCTGAATTGGTGTTAAGTGGAGATAGGGACAACACATTTGCTGTTCCTGATGCAGAGGCACTGACTGCTTGTCTGATTTTCTGAATTTTGTCAGTGAAAAAGGAGGCAAAATCATTGCACGCCCTGGTGGATAGAAATTCAGAGGCTACTGACACTGGGGGGTTAGTTAGTCTGTCGACGGTAGCAAACAAGGCACGTGCGTTGTTTTTGTTTTTGGTAATGATGTCAGAGAAGAACGATTGTCGTGCGTTTTTCAATTCCAAATTATAAAGGCCAAGTCTCTCTTTATAGATTTCAAAGTGAACCTGGAGATTTGTTTTTCGCCTCCTGCGTTCAGCTTTTCGACATTCTCTTTTTTCTGTTTTCACGCTCATGGCCTTTCTCCATGGAGATATTTTCTTGCCAGACACTTCCTTTACCTTAGTTGGAGCAATGGCATCTATAACATTTTTAATTTTTGAATTAAAATGATCTACTAGCTCATTTACTGAGATGTTGGCAGGGGCAAGTGTGGAAGAAAAATTCTGAGTAAACATTTCCCTAGTATTTTCAGTTAAATATCGCTTTGTGGTTACCTCTTTTTGAACATTTTTGTGAACAGAAATAGAGCTCTCAAAGAAAACACAGGAATGGTCAGAGAGTGCAACATCAGTCACCACAACCTTAGAGATATTCACACCCTTTGAGATAATTAAGTCCAGAGTGTGCCCCTTATTGTGCGTGGGCTCCGTCACATGCTGAGTCAGTCCATAGCTATCAAGAACACAAAATAGTTCTTTAGCCCCTCTGTCCTGGGGGTTGTCAACATGGATGTTAAATCACCAACAATGACTAGACCAGGGGTGGCCAACCAGTCAGAGGTTAAGAGCCACATTTTTTCTATGTTACTGCAAAGAGCCACATCAAACACACTGATACCGCTTGTTTCAGTTTTTTGTTTTCTGGAGACAAGATTTCAACCATGTCACTGATGCATTTTTGTGGCATTGGGATATATATTTTTTAAATCCTCTGGAGCAGAGAGAGGAGCTGTGGATTATTGTTATTGATTAATGCATCAGTGTTTCTTAGGGTCAAAAACACTAAACTCACAACTTGAAATGAAAGCGTTTAGTTTATTTAATAAAAGAGCACATGTTCAATGTGAAAAGTGACAGTAGTTATAGATTATTTGCAATTTGGTGCTATGTAGCCTATATATTTAAAAAAAATAAAATTATATATTTTTTTTAAACACCTTGAATTTCAGGGGGGGGCTCCGTTGGCGGGGTGCAGCGCCCCTCCAAGACAATGGTAGGGGAAACACTGGATAATGTTTAATCAACGATAGGTTTCCCCCCCCCCTCAAAGGTGATTGGTTCACTGCATCGCAGGTATTATTGTGATTGGCTCTTGGGCCACATCAAAATTAGACGCGCTGGCATCCTCTCATACTGACACATGACACCACACATACACACGTAGAGCCGGGACGAAAGTAACACAGGACGAAAGTAATGGAGCGATTTTATCCGAGCCCAAACAACTTTGACCGGCCAAATTACGTCAGAATGATCAGCATTCGATACTTAACAGACCTACTAAATATCAGGTTTAACTCTGAGGAGTAGTGTTGTCACGGTACCAACATTTTGGTTTCGATACCAAGTCAAGAATTGCGATTCCGATTCTTTTTCGATACTTTTCTTAAAAAAAGGGAAACAGTCTTAAATGTAATTATTGTGCTTTATTTCACACCAGAACCAGAACCATAACACAAACTTTTAAACAATGAGAACAATAAATAAAATAAATGACAAGAATTCGTATTAAATAAAATTAATACATGTCTCACAGACAGGCCGAGGCGCAGCAGCAGTTGCACTCCCACTTGCAGCCATGCTTCTCGTTTTCTCACATGCTCTGGCAGCTAGCGCGTGCATGAGAGAGGGGAGGGACTTAGAGCGTGCTTGAGAGGGGAGGGGCTGCAGGCACAGCTGCAGTGCAGGGAGTGGAAGCAGAGCGCTGAACACACACGGCTCTTATTAAAACAGCGCTTTCTCACCGGAGTACTTTTCTCCGTCATTCTTAAAGTACCGATACTAATGAAACGGAGGAATCGTAACGTTTTTAACGGCAGGGTATTGCGGTACCTTTCAAGTATTGGTACACCGTGCAACACTAGTCAGGAGTCAGTGTCTCTCCCCCAAACTCACACATATAAAATTCGATATGAACTGAAGAGCCGCATGAAACTAGGCAAAGAGCCGCATGCGGCTCGAGAGCCGCGGGTTGGCCACCCCTGGACTAGACGGTCAAAGTCAATACACACTATAGACAGCAGTTCAGTAAATTCATCAAAAAAGCTTGCACAGTATTTGGGTGGTCTATAGATATTTAGGAACAGAGCTCGAGAGGAGCATTTCAGTTGAAGGGCCACATATTCAAAAGAATCAAAGTTTCCATACGATGTCTTCCTGCATTGAAGGGAATCATTGAGCAGAATAGCAACTCCACCCCCTTTCTTATGCATTCTTTCCTGACTCATAAAACTAAAGTTGGGAGGGGTTGATTCGATAAGAACAGCTGCACTGTTATTTTGTTCAATCCAAGTTTCTGTTAAAAACATAAAATCGAGATTGTGCTCAGTGATAAAATCATTGATTAAAAATGTTTTTCCTGCCAAAGACCTGACATTTAATAAAGCTAGTTTAAGTTTGTTAAACACACTATCAGTCATGTTTTTTGTAACAAGCTGTGGCTGACATGGAATCACTGCTAAATTAGATACACTCACACAAACGTTTGAACGCTTCCTGTTTCTATGATTCACCGCTCTTAATCTATTACCTATCAACACAGATATCGGCAAAGCTACTGGCAGGCAGGGCCCCGACATGTCCTGGAAAGAGTTGAGAGTGCCATACGCCCTTGAGCCTGGACCCATCACATATCAGTAAGAGTTTGTTGTGTTTTGTACACACACATCCTTATCAGGCTTCGGAGACTGCAGATGCCCCCTCGAAGGGAGGGGAGGTGGTCGACGTAGGCACGGTGATGGAGACGGGCGAGATGGTGCGGGGGTAGAGGACATGCTGCCAGGGGGGGAGGTGATTGACGTAGGCGCGGTGATGAGGACGGGGGAGATGGTGCGCGTCTCCGCGGTGATTTTGGTGGGCGTCGTTGAGGAGCGGGGGTAAAGGACATGGTGCCAGCCCTGCGTATCGCCTTTGTTTGGTCTTTGAACTCCAGGAAGGAATCGGTGCCAACCCTCTGTATCTCCTTTGTGTGTTCATCGATCTCCAGGAGGGTGGGCGAGGGTGAAAGGGTGAACGGAGTATCCTCAAAGGCGTTGACAGGGGGGGAGGGGGTGACGGGCAGTGGAGACTCCTCCATTTGTCTCATAGGTCTCCCATAATCAGAACATTCCTCAGGCGGATGCAGTGATAATTCTTCAGGGTTTTCTGCGTGATGTGTTGTGTCTTTCTCCTGTTTTGATTCCTCTTGCCGCTTGTCCTTGGCAGAGGGAACAGATTGATGACGCAGGCAGTTGAATATGTTAGAGATAAACAATTTCACTCCTGACTTGTTCAGGCAAACTCCATTTGCCTTGAAAAGATGTCTGCGATCCCAGACAAAGTTAAAATTGTCAATAAAATGAACAGAATGGTCAGTACAGGCCGTTGAAAGCCAGGTGTTCAGTGTAAACAATCTGCTGAATCTCTCCACTCCTCTTTTGACTGGCGGTAGAGGGCCACTGATGAACACCTCTGCATTTAGAGAGCTGGCAGTTTCCAACAAACATTTAAAGTCTTCTTTCAGCACTTCTGACTGTTGTTTCACAACATCATTTGTTCCAATGTGCAGTACCACATTCTTCACAGTCGGATGTTCAGCCCCAATATGCAGGATCTTCTCAGCCAAGTCAGAGACCACATCCTTGGGAAAACAGAGTACTTTGGTGTTGCTCTTATTACACAGACCTTTTACATCTCTTACAGCAGAGTCACCCACAATCAGAGTTTCAGGCCCAGTCGTTAGCTTTCCCTCTAGCCTTTTACTTTTAGAGTAGCTATTGGTCCTTACCCTGCTGTGTGAAGAGGACAGGTTATCCAGGTCATCAGATCTCCGGTTCTCGGTCAGCGGAGCGTATCTGTTCTGGATTGGCACAGTTGGTGGTTTAGGAGAATTGTTTGTAGTTCTCCCTTTAGCAGCTGTCCACTGCTGTTTCCTAGTATGAATAGGGGTTGAAGAGGCGCTCTTCCTGGGTGATAACAATGCAGGCCAGCCGGTCGCATCACAGATTTCGGAGCTCTGGGCTCTGCCTGTTATCCGTCCTCCCAAATCCCATGGAAATTATTTACTCTTAGGCTTTGCACCCAGAGAGTTCCAGGGAGGACTACCACTTGTAGATTTATTACCCGGTACACAGCCCTCCTGTTCCTTGGAATCCTTGTAGCTGCTAACTAGCTGTGAGTTAGCATACCCTTCTCCATTATTTTGCAACACTGGTAAAGTCGTGTCATTCCCACGACATAGTCCATTCAGTTCCACGTTAACTTCCAACCGTTGCATTTTCATTTCCAACACAGCCATCTTCTGTATACGTTTCTGGAAGTCATCTGTAGAGAACGGAGGCATTTTGCTACCAACTAGCTAAATAGCAGTAGCCTACCAGGCTTTAGCTGTTGCTAGGCCACGCTATTGTAAGACTGACGTCGTCGTAAAAATGTTGAAATATGGCTGAAACCCTCCGTCTATTTACGAAGATGAACTGTCCCAGTGATAAGTTAATGTCCAGGAGCCGCTGCTCGAAGTTTTCAGAAAATAAGAATAGGAAAATCAGCATAAAAAGTAAGCAGAGGCAAGAGCAAGCAGAAAAGCGTCTGCACTGTAAGAAAGATAAGATAAGCAGTGTAAAGAGCAAGCCTTTTGTTAACAACTTAATGTCACATTTGTACAATCCTATCTATAAAGGAAATTGGTCTTGCCGTGAAATAAGATCCTGTGAATCTACCCTAGAAAAACACACACATATAGATGATCAATTTTATAAAGAAAAATATCTCTGCAACAAAGTTAGTTTCTTTAAAGATTCAGTTGATAAATTGTCTGAGAAGTCTTGTAATCAAAACAAATGTAAAGATGTATCCAAATCGTGTCCATTTGAATGCATTATACCGGACTCCAAACTTTTACAGGAGTCCTCAGTGTCCCACTCAACAGTACTTGATCCTCATTTGCCAAAGCCACAAACTGGAAAAGAGGAAACAAAACCCATAGGTTCCTCCTCAAACACAAACTGACTAGTCGGTTTTTTTCAGGATTCCTTCTCCCACAGCAAAGAACCTAAATTTGATGATTTCAGATCACACATGTGTAGCCAGTTTTGCAATAAGTTGAGTCACATGCCATCTCTCGAAATGTTTTATATGTCATCATGCTTTCTGGCCAAAAGAGGCTTACCATGAACAAACTAAGGCAACGAGAGAACCAATTAAACGAAGATTATTTGTTCACAAACATAAACGGACTGACTCTGAATCACAATTAAAGATGACACAAGCCCAAGATTGGTTTTCCAAGAACATGAAAAGAAAATCCATGAGCGAGGACAAGAGCAAAAGTTCCTTGGTGTCGGTAAGACAGCACAAGATTTTGTTCAGCAGTGATTGCAGTGTTGCAGTGCATATGGCATAATGCATATGGCCATATCTAAAGTTTGAATGTAGAACTCTTGCCCCAAGCTTTTACTAATAATGCTCAGCACTGTCTTGCTGTGGAATGTTTGCATCAGAGCAGAAGACAAACATTTTTGGTGAAGCGCAACTAATGGACTTAAGAGAATGACCCTCTCTTAGTGACATGAGATGCTTGTCCTGGTATGGACATTCTCATAATAAATCAAATACTAACCCACATACTAAGTGATTCATTTAAAGTGCCTGACCTGACTGAATCAAGTCGAAGGAGATTCAAGTCCCCACTTTTACCATAAGGTGCTATATGTTATTTTGTAGATTACAATAAACTGAAGTTGCAATATGCTTTATAGCGCTATTTTGGTCTTCGCTTAACAGCTTTACATTTCTAATCTAACTGGTGCTCTTGCATCAGCTAGACTAGAGTCTACAATCTATCGTCTCAAATGTAAAAAAGGGGACAATACAACACATATTATAATTCTGCAATAAGCTTTGCCAAACGTTGAATTCTGTAAATGAAGTGGGATTCTTTCATTACTGGTATCACATAATGATTTTCCTTTTGGAAGATGGGGCAGCCCTGCAGCATAAGAGACAGTAGCATTGTTTGAATTTTGACACATACTTTAAACTAGTGAGCTTAGCATTGCCACAGTGCTTCTTGACCTTTTTTGATGACAAGGCAGCAAACACCTATTGAATAAGTGTTAAATGTTGCATGTCCACCTGCCATGTTCCACAAAAGGCTTTTTTTGACTCAAGTTCACTTGTGCCCTTCTTTTATTATTGTAAAATGATCTTGTGTTGACAGTGATGTTCTCAGTGAAATATATCCAATCATACTATTATCAAGGCTACTTTCAAAATATCATAATTATGCAGCATCTTTATCGGTCTTTACAAATCAGTAATGCATTTAAAATTGTATTTGGTCTTTATGATAAATAGTATTAACATATATAAGATACTACTGAAATCACCTAAGTGGGCTACAAGTGAATTTCCTCAATTGAGGCACTGCTGTCATATAGCCTGTCATTGACAAATGCACGCTTTTTTGACTATTCCTTTCATCACCAATATAAATCGCAAATCATATTTCTTTTCATTATTTCCCATTCCATTTTATAATTTCTTGCAGGTTTCACCAGCATCTTTGAGGACAAACGTTTCAGAATCTTCAAAACAAAAACAAGTTCATTTAGAAAAGAGTCAAGAATGTCCGACTGAGAAACCATCTTTGGTACATGATTCAAACTCAATTTGCACTGAAAAACTAGAATTAGCACTTCCAGGTAACTACGAACTAAGTAAAACACAATCTGATATCACATTGACCAAGCCAAGAAACTCACTACAGGAAAAAGATCAAATGCTGACATCCCCCAAACAAAGCGAAAAGTCTGACTCAGCAAAACCCAGCCCAGCAACCCCAGGCTCACTATGTCAGATAGCTCAAGAAAGTCCAGATGACCAAATCCTGATGTCCTCAGAGTCCACTCCAACACCACCAGAGACTGGGTCCCCTAAGCTTGACCAGCTGCTGTCAGATCTGGAGAAGATGAAACTTAAATTCAGACCAGAGACACTTGACCCCCAATTGTCAGAATTGAGTGATGAAAGCCCTCAGGCAGATGACATTTACGAGTTTGAAGGCCTTTCACCTGAAAATATCATCCCTACAGATGAAAGTCATGACCTAAGAGTCAGCATGCCAACTGCTACACAGCTTGGAGAAGATACTAACTTAAAAAATGTAGCCATCACAGAACCTGGACATTTCCAGACACCAATTCAAGATGAACCCGAAATAATCTCAGTCACTCCTCATTTTACAGAAACCTCTGAAGAAACAGCACCATCAAGCCTTGGAAGTCGTAAGGATAGTCCTGTACCCCTTACTGACTCTCTTTCAACTCCAGAATCTCCCAATAGAGATTTTGATGAGATGGAATCACTGAACTTAAGTATTCCTGTGAACAAATTCCATTTCAACACTTATGACGAAAATGCCACTGAGATGTTTTCTTCAGTGTCTTTTCCCAAGGTAGCTGCAAAGAGTATGTCTGAAATACCTCAGGATAATGTTTCTGAGGAAGATTCTACACATATTTTACTTCAAAACCGGGAAGAACTGGAATCAGCTACATCATCTAAAGATTCAATGGGTTTGACAGAAGAAATATCAACACAGAGTATTCAACTTCCACTTTTATGGGAGGATACTTTTTTGGAATCCATTCAGACTGACGATGTCTCCTCTCAGTCTGTTCCTGATTTAACTCCAGAGACAGTTATATCCACAAGACATTTTTGTTTTGAGGAACTTATGACACCTACCTCCCCAGGGAATTTGGAGAAATCTTCAGATGAGGATAGGCCAAATACCAGTGGACGGCATTCAGAAGAATCTCTGACTTCAGTAGACTCAGATTTTTTTGTCTCTCAGTCCACTCCAGTGCAATCTAAAGCAGAGACGACTTCATTAACCTCTGATGAGGAGTACAGCTTCCCAACTGGGTATCCAGAGGCAACCATCTATATCCACATGCCTCCAGCATATGAAGACGTTGTGAATAGTTGTGCAGACAGCCCACCCCTTGACTACTCTGACCCAGAGCCTTACTTTGACTGCAACCAGGCTGGATCAGATTTCTCAGAAACTGAACCCGAGACAAGTACTAGTGCAAAAGGAGATCAGCCCAAGGATCATTATATTCATCCAAGAGTGCTAAAAAAGGTGAACCAAAGAGTCTTGTTGTCCTCTGGAAGCGAAGATTTTGAGGATGCTTCTCTTGTCCATGAGCCTTTTTTTAAGGTACAAGAAGAGAGTGAAGCGTTGTTGCACTACTCAGAAGCATCGGATGAAGAATTCACCTTGTGCAAGGCTTCACAACCACCTACAGTCTTAAAAAATGGAGAATATTGTGATACTGATACATCTCTCACAAGGGTAAGATGAGATTTGGTAAACCACCCCAACTTGCAAGATTTTTCCTGGAGCTGAGCTTGAACAAATGTTATAATTGCTTCAGAGAGGAATGTCTGCTAACCCTCCCACCCCTGGCCACATGAATTGGATCTAATAGACTCCTCATACCCCTCATTTTACTTGTATTTTAACCATCCTAACTCAGCATGTCACTGTGCTGCCTGTATCACTTACTGTAATAACATAAGCTACATGTTTTTTTATAAGCAATAAATGTTTTCATTACTTGATGATGGAATTGGTGAACGCATGGTATTTCTTTGCAAACGTTTTTTTTTTACTTACAGACTGCCATGTTGCACTTTCCAATGTAAGATATTAAATCAAATTGTAACATACTCAAAATGAAAAGTGCACCATACCACTCTGCTTATTGCTTGCTTTGTACCAAACATGTTTTTTATCATATGTTTTCATCTATTAAATGTCAATGGATTTGTGTTGCTTGGTCAGGAGATCAGCGCAGAGCTCGGATTAATGTCAGAAAGTTCAGATGATGAATTTTTGACCACCAGAATAGTGCGAAGGAGGGTTGTCATAAAGGTATCTGATGAAGTATGATTGAAGGTGTTTTATGTGAGCATGCAGGGTGTGACTTTCAGAGTGCAACATAATTAAAATAATGCTAGGTCTTTGCTATGAAGTGAAAATGTAAACTGTGTAACAGCCTTTCGTTTCGTCAAATTCCAGGTGTTTAAAGAATAATTTAGAGTTTATAAGAAAACTGCTACTTGATTTGCAACTATGGCTGAACCTCTTGATGGTGTTGTATGCTGTTGTGGGCACTTTTTATGTTGTTTTTGACACATATAAGTTTGAATCCTGTATGCCAAATATATATCTGTTGTGCTTTTTTTAACGTTTAACGACTTGTGTTTGAAGTGGATAAATAACACATTAACATTGGACAGACCTAAGTCAGCATTTCTGATTATTGTTTGTCTTATTTTCCTAATAGGCTGATGAAATGCCTGAATTCCCCTCTCAGTCAGTGATGGAAGAAACGTACAAAGATGAAAATGGACATACTGTTGTCAAAAAGGTAAAGCAATATTCTATTTAAACCCCGGCAGTGGCTCAGTCAGTAGGGGCTTGGAGTGTGAGCTGTAGGGTCGCTGGTTCAAGTCCCCGACCAGACCTAAATATGGAGTGTGGACTGCTACTTGGAGAGGTCCCAGTTCACCTCCTGCCCTGCCGTGGTGCCCTTGAGCAAGGCACCGGACACCCCCCTTCCCCCCTCACTCCCATTGCTCCCTGGGCGCTCTGCAATAGCTGCCCACTACTCCTACTAGTTAGGATGGGTAAAGGCAGAGAACACATTTCTGTGGCCGTTTCTCAATGCTGGGCATTTAAACAGTCCTTCGGCGCCACTCGATGACGTAGTATACTTGAAATAGTGGCTCTGCAGCAGCTTTACTCGACATTGAGAAACGGCCTCTGTGTGTGCTCTGCATGCATGACCGTTAAAGAGGGTCTCATCCCTCCGATTCTATCTATTATCACATGGCAGTTTCTAAACTGGTCAGTAAAGGCCAAGAAAGTGAATTTGTGTGCAGAAATTCTCAAGGATCTATGTTGAATAGTTGCTCCACTTTATTCAGAGACAGCCAACATTACTTTCTCGAATGTGATTAACCTAATGTTTTTTTAAACATGTGATCTTCCTAAGGTTACGCGTAAAATAATTCGCAAGTGTGTTTCCGCGGATGGTTTGGAGCATGAAGAGGTCTCATCAGAGGGCGCTCCACAAGAGTCCATCAGTATGGCAGAGGGAGATGGATACTCTAAAGTTGTAAAGCGGACTGTACTAAAGAGTGAAGGAGATCAAACAGAGGTGTGTGTTATGTGAATTATGTGTGTGTTCATTATTATGTTCCTCAAAATCTGATAAAATACCACAGGGCAACATTTACATTAGTAGTAATAAATAAAAGTCAATGTAACAGACTTGCTCTGTCTTCTTTCTTCTTAGGTAACATTTGCTGAACGTGAGGGGTTTTCAGCATCAAGTCAGGGGGCAGCTGAAGGTTGTAAGGTCAGTTGCAAGGAAAAGACAATGATGGTGGAGGGGGAAAGGCAAATGACCCACCACGGTGATCCATCTTTGGCCTCTGACCTACCCTCTGCCCAGGATGACTTCAAACAGGTTTGTGGATAACCTTGTTACTATTATTGTACATATTTTATCTCACAAGCTTATGAAGAAGTACCAAGTATCAGTTTTTTGTTTTCATTATTAAATCGTTCCAAATTAAATAAATGATGTTCCCTCCATGTCATGCCACCAGGCACTAGGTTATATAAGTGGTTTTAGCAGAGCAGAGCTCCCTCATGTGGTAGAGAGAGAGACTGTCAAAGAAGATGGAACGGTTGTCAGGAGGTGTGTGAGTGCTGGAGTGCACCCAATACAGTCTAGTACTGTACCTGCACCTGTTTGATTGTATGTGTGTGTGACTACTTGTATTTTGTGCTGTAGGTTCAACAGTTCTGCAGATAGTGACTAATGTTTGCTTATGTTGCTATCATTAACCACTTAGTAGCATACTGTAATACTTCCATTTTTTCTTCTATCATTTATTTTCTCTCCGATAAAAAAGCCAGAACAAGGATTCTGCAGCTTTAAACTAGCTTTCCTCTGCATGATATCACAATTGAATGCTGGATTTACAAAGCATGAAATCATTTTGGAGTGTTTTGTTTCTTAACCATAACATCTCTTTCCTGCAGAGCCTTAGGGTTGCATTTTTTGTTGAAACTGACCTGTCTTTGTTTGTTTGTTTGTTTCCTCTCCCTCTGTTCTCCCTATCTAGGGCCCGCATGCGTAAAGGTTGCACCCACAGGCGAACAGTCGTGAAGGAGGCTGGGCAGCGCAAACATGTCCTTCTAGAGCAAGTGGACAACCCTAGGAAAGGGTCAAAACCAAACGACCTCCAGCAGCATCTCCACCAACTCTTTCACAGCTACTATACAAAAGAAGAGGAGGACAACAATGAGAAAAAGGAAGAGTAGAAGAGTGTGTAACCCTTCACAAGACCCTTGCTCTGCCCATGCTAAAGTCCCATCCTAATCCTATGCATAAGCCACATGCAATCCCAGTGTGCACCACGGCACCTCAAAGCTACCACTATGTTCCCATTTTAGTCCTGGAATATGATCTTTTCATCACAATTTGTTTTGCTTTCATGTTCTGATGTTGTTTTGCCTTTTTGTGACCAAAGAAAGCCTTCTGTAGTTTCCCTCATTCGTTTTACTTACCATGTCATTTTTATCTTGATGCTGTGGTAGAACTACATACAAAACACAATAGGAATACTTTCACATCCACTAACTCACAAACCTCCTGAAGGTAAAGACACTTTACTTGCAAAATACTGGTACTATACTCTTTAAGAAGGTGCTTGGACTGAAAGACAATATCTCTCACACTGCACTGCCTCTCACAACCAGAGTTTCTCAGATATTCCTCACTAGAAAATGATCTCACTCACTGTACTAGCCTCTTGCTCTTTTGATTCAGGTGATCAAGATGTCACACAGAGAAAACCAGACTGTATCGACAGTGAAATGTACTGCTGCTGCTGTGTTTTGTGCAGGCTATGTGTAATCTGTTTTTGGGAATTATATATTATCTATAATCTAGACATTACTGACATCAGTAGCTAGCAATTAATAATCACTAATGTAAAGTAGAGAAGGCATGACTAATCAACATCTGTCATTATGATCCTAGCTTTGACTGCTTTGTAATTCAATGGATTGCCCTTCTGCATCTCTATCCCTTCCTCATTGTTCTATCTTTCTGTGTTTTTATGTTTGGCTTTTATTTATTCTTTTGGGCCTTTTTTTTCTTAAATTCTTGTCTTGACTCATACTGTATGAATCTGTGTATGTTTTAAGTGTGAGCTAAAGAGATAGTATTGTCAGAATTATTATAGGCTTATTTTAAACTATGGTTTTCAAGATGTTTTGGTTTATTTTTGTTCTTGAGTTAAGTTTACTAGTCATTTTCGATTACCAGCCTAATTAATCTCTATTTGCCAGTGGTGAATACAATCATCATAGGCGTTTTAGAGTCACTTGTCTGATATGAAAATTGGTTTTATTTAATTTTAGATGTGAATAGTTTATCTTTTGAACACGTTTTGGACCAGTTTTTGGTAGTTGTGCTCTACTGTTTTTGAGTGAATGGGTCTGTGTGTGCCAGTTTCTGTCAGCAAAGAAAATATACAACATTATTTTACACAACACTTATATGTCAGGAAGGAGTACCTCTATGCTTTTTGTGTACAGGAAATATGGTAAAGTTAGCCACAGAGACAGTTTCATGTTGGCTGGGCAGATGATATTTACATGATACACAAGGCACACGCGCAATGAGGCAGGTTGACAGCTTAACCATACCATTATTCACAGCTCAGAGCATCGCTACTGTATGTATCTACAACATGTAATGTATTTATTTCACTATCACTGTTTACTTTGTGATTTAGAAAATGTTAAATGCAAACTAGTGGAAGTTCACTGTGACAGGTATGCTTTTAATTTTGAAGAATCAGCATCCCTTTTCTGTGATGATGCCAGTTATATAAATATACAATGCATATATAAATATCTATAAGGGCATGTATTACTGTATCAAAATGCATATAGACAAAAACTAAATGGCTGCAGTGTGTCTATGGCTGATAGAGAATAAAAGTCTACCAATGTAAAGCGGTGTTTCTTGTTATTTGTTGTGTACAGTATAAAGTGTAAAGTACTGTACGACATGCACAGGCAGGGGTGAAATACACATCTTTTCTTAATAGAGATGTATCTCCTGCGCTGGTTTTCTCCATTTACGAGAAGTGCATTTTAATACACATTAATAATGCCGAAACGTTTTCATTTTTGGACATGAATGCAATCTAGTTTTGTCCCACCTATCTTATTGCCACCAAAGACATTTAATGATTCAGGTTATAGAAAGTTCAGAGGAGCTATTGATAACTTGTACTGATTGATATTGTTAGATGTGCATGTGTTTTTATATATATAAAAATCAATTTGAATAAAACTATCATGCATCTATATTCAATGAGTGTATGAGGATTAAGCAAATATCAGAAAGAAATATGTCAATGAGTTAACGTCAAGTCAAACATCAGCAGATGCCCTCCACCTCTGCCGCAGGATAACACTGACCAACCAGCAACACAAAACAAGGTAAAACTCATTCATTATCACACCTTTTAGATGATTTCTTTATTTCTTAAACATGTTAAGCCATCCTTTGCCGTGCTGGCAACAGGTTCAAACCATATAAGGAGTGGTGCAATGCATTGACATCATACGTTTCGTCAAAATAAATGTTTATCATATATTCCCCTTACAAAAGAAGAGACCAATTGAAAAGAGCAAATAGTAAGGATGAAGAAGACACTGGCATTGTCCTGCAGTGGTGAGGAGGCTACTGGTTGGTAGAAGCACTGATCGCCAAGGAAGACATCCCAACATGTATTACGGTCCAACTCTCATTGGACTCCTTCCTCTGGTCTGACAGCTACGTTCTTTAATCCAATACTTTTGTGACCCTCTGGATTTATAAGCCCAATCGTTAGGTTAACACTTGCCCTTTCAAAGGGTAGACTACAGTGCTATGCTATATCTTCATCATCACCTGACTCCTCCCTTACAATTGGCAAAGTAACACGCTTAAAATGACAATAAAATAACAAAAACCCTACATACAGTCATACAATACAAGTACAAACATTATGAAAAATGAGTTTGTTTTTTTCTAATTCTTATACAAAATGTAAGGGGTGCCATTTTCCCTCCTCTTAGATATGAGGTTTGATATTTACGCTGGATTTTAACCATTACTGTGTTTTTGTTTTTACAACAGTTCCATGATACTGGAGGACATAAGAAACATTTGGGACAGGACTGATGCACAACATTAACATATGCAAACAAACAAGTCAGTGATTCACAAATCAAACAGAAGATATTATAGTTTTATATGATCTTACTTACAATATTCCCCCCCATGCACTACACAATAGTCTTGAATTTTCATATATTACATATATGCTACATTCTCTTATTTCTTATTTCACTGATATAAAGGCAAACATATCTCGATGCAAAGTGTAAGCTGCTCTGCTTTTCTTTACATTTAAATTAGTATTATAGATTGAAATTGGACAATTCAAACATTATGACTTAGCTCATAGCAAACATAAATAATAAACTGGATTTTACGTAAACTCTTAATTCCTCTGATAGCAAGAATAGCAATTTCAATGTTTGTTTTTATCAACAATCACAATGTATATACATCACCAGAACTAAAGCAAGCTCAATTTTAACATTCTGATCTTCCAAATGTTTCTGTATTGCACACACATAAATACACGTAAAAATATTGAACACATTTTTGGGAGAGGTTACAGTAGTAGATTTTTAAACATCTCTAATTTATATTTAAAATGCATACCAAAATATCTTAAAAAACAAACAAAAACAATGTCAATATGCTCTTTTTCATAATGTTCAAATACAGTGTGCAGCCACCCGGTGGTGGTTTTCGACTGATGTCCATTAATAAAATGCCATAACAGTAAAATGTATTAATATTTGTATCCTGCGATGTCATGTCCTCATAAAAGGGTCAAAGGTCAGAGAGCAGTCATGGGTTGGCTAGTTGACTGCCCTACTAGATTTGCTGATGGGATTTTCTTCTTGGACCAAATGTTGATATTCCATTAACTGTAAAACATAGAAAGAGAGAGAGATCATACATGTCAATGTATAAAGCATTTAGTTTCCTACAGAATATAATTTGACCACAATTCACAGCCGAAATTGGGAGATATAAAAAGGAGGAAAGAAGGAAGGACAGCATTGAATAATAACATCAAAAGGCCAGGGCATAATACCATTGAGCATGCTGGCTTACTGGTATTACTTACTGGGAAAAGCCCTCACACACCTGTTGTGTAAGGGCTTTGTATATACTTCTTTTCGGGAATATGTAGGGGTTTACAGACTTTGCTTGTTGCACCTGTTTGGGCGGGACACCTTACACTTTTATGATTCATTCATTTTTGTCCATGTTCAAGTTTGGGGACCTCAGTTAAGTTTCAGAATAACTGCGCCTTGTCTTTTCATGGACAGAGGGGGAATTTGGTTTAAAGAAGTGAATAAATAAATGAGGTTATAGCTGTGCCTTTTTCGGCGTATGTTGGTCAAGAAAAATGCCCTTAAATGCCCCACCTTTGCAACTGACAGTTTCTCAAAATCAACCTGCAAAAAAGCAGCTTTTCATAATAGCTAAGTAACAAAGCAAAGCTGGTCTGTCAAGCTTTGGATTCTTTACATGTTGAAGCAGTGTACTTACTCTGCAGTATGGACTGTGCTGTCTATGTTTCTCATTTTACATAATTCAGCTGGAAAACTTTAATAAAATAGGTTTGCAGTCCCAGACCAAGTCACAAGTTCTAGTGTTAGCTAACTCTATCATTAGTTAGCTAGCTAACGAAAAAAAACAATCAGGTAGAAATAACAACAACATTTAAGTGTTAAATCTGCACCATTTAAAATTCTGCATTGTGTGCCTTGATAAATGGATAGCTTAGCAACCTGTCAATTCCATGTTAGTTAGCTACTTCAAACTTTAGGCTGAAAAGCTAACTGCCCTCTATGTTAAAAAATGACTGTTGCACCTGATTTGACCACAAATTGATAGATAAGGTTGTGTGTAGGGGGAGCATACCTGCAACACTGTAGTAAGGTGAGAATTTAAACCACTGGAGATCAACAATAAACACAATTTTTGTTAGTGTCTTTGTTACAAAGTTTCTGCTGTGGGTTTCTTACTGTCTCTTACTGGGAGGGGATGCTGGGCGAGCCCGAACGATGAAAGTGGATGTTCTGCCACTTGCCGTCACGACGGTGCCACACACGGGTCTCTTCAGACTGCATGGTGCGGGGCATGCCGTTGGTATCCATGTACTGGGTCAGTCGAATATAGGCAATGCACGCTGCATTTTCCCCAATTAGGTGTACGTGTGGGTTCAGGAGGATGGTGTGCACTGGCTTGTTCCCTTTGGACAGAGCTAGAAGAGAGAAACATTTATACAAATGCAATTATACTTTATTTATACAGGTAACCCCATTGAGACACAGGGTCTCATTCTAATAAGAAGTGTCACTGAGTAACATATTAAATGGTTATCATCATGTCACTCGGGTTTTGGAATTTCTAATACAACATCATTCAGACTCGAAAAAATACTGACCCTACCTAGATTACTAACTGGTATTTAAATAAGAGGAACGAAAAGTTCCCAAATGTTGACGTTGGATAGTGGACAAGCACAGGCTCGCCAAGTGATTGAGGTTTCTAGGACATATCTGGTTTATCTGAACTATTTTTATCCTGACTAAGGACATTTTGCCATTTATAGCAGTCATTATTCATGTTTTGCTCCAAGGTTGCTCCATAACCACAGACATGCCTATGTAGTGCACCAGCAAACATGAACTTTTAACTGATTGGACTAAATGTTGATATAGAAAAACTATTTAGCTCATACCCAATAATTCACTACTCTCTATCTATCAACGCTTAATTCCTTTTACTGTGTCGGGGGTCTTCCTTGTTTTCAAAATGTTGAATTTAATTACATTTATAGCATTATATATTATTGTTACCCCACCACTAATTTGATCACTGCCTTCTTGGTCATCGCAGCGTTTTCCCTGCACACCTGCTTCCTAACAACTGATTATGCTTCGGACCTGCCTTCACAGGATTTTCTTCTTGGATCATAATGCTGCATGCATTTATAGATATGGCTCCTGTGAGATAACAATTGTAGTGTGTGAGCTATTGTAGTTAGTTGTTGATGTCTGCCTGCAGTTACACAACATCTAATGCACATTTTTTCACCGCAGTTCAAAAATCTAATTAATGTGAATTAATAATACGCAATCGTTCATCCTTGCAAAGGCCAGATTTGATTTCTGAGTTACTAGATTGGGTTGGGATCCAGCTGGCTACTTGCAATATTTGGAGCAACCCCCGACCCACGCTTATGATACATTTCCACTACTCTGAACAGCTTCAGGCCACATGCAACCGTCTACTGCAATAGTTAGTGTGTTGGCTGGTAGAAGCAATGATGATGCTGCCATAATCAGTTCTTTGCAAAAGTCATGATCATTTTTTTTACCATTCTCAAAGTAAAAGCGATGGAAGTCATGTCCTTCCACCAGGTTGCCCAGGGCCTCCGGCTCAAAGGAAGTTAGACCAGGATCACAAATCTTCCTGTTACACCAAAAAGGATAAAGAATAAGCAAAGGTTGGTAAACAAGACAGTACATATCATATTTAGATGATACAAATATACAAATGCAGAAAGAAAGAAACTTACGCATAGGACTCAAAGTCTCCATTGTTGATAGACTCAATCAACTGCTCAGTAACTTTGATGATTTCCTGTTTGCGAGCTACAACAAAAGATCCCAGACAATTATTTACTACACAAACTGATGTTAAAAATGCTATTTGTTACTGTATTTCAGCCAAATGTTGGTCTGAGTGCAGAAATCTGACATCAAATCAGGTTCAAATGGGGAATAGTCTACAAATTAGCAGGGGCTCAAAGTTATTAGAAATGGGTGGCACTCAGAAAAAGTCTGCACACATTTTAGCTTTTTCATAT